CTTTCTGCTCCTGGTGGGAGGCGCCGCACCGGCAAGGGCAAGGGGGGCAAGGGTGGCGGGGGTGGCGCTGGGGGGGAGGGGGGGGGAGGTGGGGGGGGAGGCGGTGCTGGAGGGAGCGGTGGCGGGAGTGCCGGTGGGAGTGGGGCCGGCGGCGGAGGCGGGGGCGGCGGCGGGAGCAGTGGCGGTGGTGGCAGCGGCGGCAGTGGCGGCGGTGGCGGCGGTGGCGGTAGTGGCGGTGGCGGTGTTGGGGTCGGAGCGGAGGTAGTGGCGGCGGTGGAGGTCGGAGTGGAGGCACCGGCTCGGGCCAGAGCTCCCAGCAGCAGCAGCGTCCCCAGTCGACGACTTGGTCTTTTTGCTACTGCTGACACTGAGGCACTCGCTCGTGTGAAGTCGGAGCTGCAGAAGAGACCACCTCCTGCACTGACCTGGGTGAACTGCGTAGCTACCTTGGCTTGCAGATCACCCGGACAGAGCTCGCCGCACCATCACCCTGACTCAGTCACACATGGTGCAGCAGGTCCTTCAGCGCTTCGGCTTCAGTTCTCCTCACCACAGGCCACACCTCTGGCTACCAGCCACTCGCTCTCAGCTCCACCTTCGGACGAGTCCGTAGAGCCGAGTGGCCCGTACCCAGAGCTTGTAGGCTGCCTCATGTACCTGATGACTTGCACACGACCTGACCTCGCGTACCCTCTTAGCATCCTTGCTCGTTACGTTGCGCCTGGGAGACACAGGAGAGAGCACTGGGAGGCTGCTAAGAGGGTGCTGCGTTACTTGTGCAGTACATCAGGCATGGGGCTGGTGCTTGGAGGACACGACAGAGTTGTTCTCACTGGTCACTCGGACGCTTCTTGGGTGGACGACTTGGCTACGCAGCGCGGTCTCGCAGGGTTACAACACCTTCAGCCTTGGCTCTGGTTCTGTCTCGTGGCGGTCCACCCGTTCTTCTTCTGTTCTCAGCTCTAGTTGTGAGGCTGAGATCTACGCCACGGCCATGGCTGCACAGGAGTTACGCTGGCTCACCTACCTGCTGACTGACTTGGGAGAGCGGCCTAGTTCTCCTCCAGTTCTGTACGGCGACAACAAGGCGGCCCTTGCCTTGTGTCAGGAGCACAGACTGGAGCACAGGACGAAGCACATTGCTCTTCGCTACTTTCTTGCTCGAGAGCTGCAGCAGCGAGGTCAGCTTCGGCTTGTGTACGTGGACTCGAAGGCCAACACTGCTGATATCTTCACCAAGGCGCTCCCGCCTAGTGATCATCAGCGGCACTGTACTTCTTTAGGCCTTGTGTCCACGTTTCCTCACTTGCTCACTGCTTGACATTCTTTGTACTGTACTTTATATATATCTTGTTGCTTGTCTTGTACTATATCTAGCACTGCATGTGAACTGGCCTTGTGGCCTTTGCTTGTGCTCGGAGTGTGGTGACTTTGTGATCCACCCTGGGCTTGCGTTGCTTTGCTGGACTGGTCTTGTGACCCTTTGTTCTCCCCCACTTTGCCTATGGGGGTGTGTTAAATTGTAATGTGTTATATGTTGGTAGGCTGTAGTGGGGTAGCTGATATGGGGTACAACCCCAACTAGGGTTTGCTACTTGTACCCAATTCTTCCATTCAATGAATCATTCTTGCCTAGTTCTCTTAACAACCTCCACGACGGAAAATTGCCTGCTGCATGATGCGCACGTGTGCAGTTGTTTTCGCTTCTCAGGGCTACAAACGTCCGAAACAAGGTTTTTCCTTCAATGTAAAGACGCCATTTGTGAGTTCGCGGACCCGCAATAATTTGCTCGAAAGTGCCTAAGAGTGGAGCGAGATCGATTGGTCAGGGTCCACCACGACGGAAAATTGCCTGCTCCATGATCTGCACAGGTGCAGCTGTTTTCGCTTCTCGGGGCTACAAACGTCCGAAACGAGGTTTTTCCTTCAATGTAAAGACGTCATTTGTGAGTTCGCGGACCGCAATTCTGCTGGAAAGTGCCTGAGAGGGAAGCGAGAGCGATTGGTCAGGGACCTCCACGACGAAAAATTGTCTGCTCCATGATCTGCACAGGTGCGGCTGTTTTCGCTTCTCGGGGCTACAAACGTTCGAAACGAGGTTTTTTCTTCAATATAAAGACGTCATTTGTGAGTTCGCGGACCTGCAATTATGCTGAAAAGTTTCTGAGAGTGAAGCGAGAGCGATTGGTCAGGGACCTCCACGACGGAAAATTGCCTGCTGCATGATGTGCACGTGTGCGGCTATTTTCGCTTCTCGGGGCTACAAACATCCGAAACGAGGTTTTTCCTTCAATGTAAAGACGCCATTTGTGAGTTCGCAGACCCGTAATTATGCTGGAAAGTGCCTGGGAGTGAAGCGAGATCGATTGGTCAGGGACCTCCACGACGGAAAATTGTCTGCTCCATGATCTGCACAGGTGCAGCTGTTTTCGCTTCTCGGGGCTACAAACGTCCGAAACGAGGTTTTTCCTTCAATGTAAAGACGTCATTTGTAAGTTCTCGGACCTGCAATTATGCTGGAAAGTGTCTGGGAGTGAAGCGAGAGCGATTGGTCAGGGACCTCCACGACGGAAAATTGCCTGCTCCATGATCTGCGCAGGTGCGGTTGTTTTTTTGCTTCTCGGGGCTACAAACGTCAGAAACGAGGTTTTTTCTTCAATGTAAAGATGTCATTTGTGAGTTTGGGATCCCGCAATTTTGCTGGAAAGTTCTGGGAGTAAAGCGAGAGCGATTGGTCAGAGACCTCCACGACGGAAAATTGCCTGCTCCATGATCTGCACAGGTGCGGCTGTTTTCGCTTCTCGGAACTACAAACGTCCAAAACGCTTCAATGTAAAGATGTCATTTGTGAGTTTGGGATCAGCTGTAAAGACGAGAGCGATTGGTCAGAGACCTCCACGACGGAAAATTGCCTGCTCAATGATCTACACAGGTGCGGCTGTTTTCGCTTCTCGGAACTACAAACGTCCGAAACGAGGTTTTTCCTTCAATGTAAAGATGTCATTTGTGAGTTCGCGGACCTGCAATTATGCTGAAAATTGCCTAGGAGTGAAGCGAGAGCGATTGGTCAGGGACCTCCATGACGGAAAATTGCCTGCTCCATGATCTACACATGTGCGGCCGTTTTCACGCGTGCGCCCCGCCAGCTGCCCGCGCGCGCTTTATTTTCTTCGCGCGCGGCCCGTCGCACTGCCTCCCCGCTGCCCGCGCGCCTTTGCGCTGCTGCCCGTGCGCCTCGTGGCCTCGCGCACTGCCCGCCGCTGCCCTGTGCGCCACGCTGACGCACCCGCTGCTGCAGCCGCCCGTCGCCTGCTCGCGCACGCCCCGCAGGCCCGCAGCCCGCCGTCGCAGAGGCCGCACGTCAGCAGCCGCCCGTCGCCTGCTCGCGCACACCCCGCAGCCGCCCGTCGCCTGCTCGCGCACGCCCCGCAGCCGCTCGTCGCCTGCTCGCGCACGCTTCGCTGCCCGTAGCCGCCCGTGCGCCGCTGCCACTGCCGCACGTGCGCATACGCAGCTGCCGCCCGTGCGCTGCTTCCGCTGCTGCTTGCGCACCGCCGCCTCCTGCCGTCGCCGCACGTGCACTGCTGCCGCCTGTGCGCCGCCGCTGCCGCTGCCGCCCGTGCGCTTCTGCAGCCGCCGCCCGCGAGGCGCTCGCTCCCACTGTTTTTTCTACCTACCGCGCACACTGCTGCCGCTGCAGCTGCCACCAGTGCGCCGTTGCAGCTCCTGCTGCCACGCTCCCTACTACTGCCGCTCGTGTGCCACTACGGACAGTCGACCCCGCCCGCGCCTTACCTAGCGGCCCCGCCGGCCCCGTTGACCCTACGCACACCTTTCCAGCGGCCTAGTTCCTACTCCTACTACTGTCACTATGGCTAGTCCTCCCGTTCTAGCTTTCGATGCCGAGGGCCGTCCGGTGAAGTTCGAAACCTGGCTAGATGACCTGCACCTGTTCCTACAGCTCACTGCCAAAGAAGACATCTCGCTGTACGACCACGCCCTAGGCCATGCTACTGCCCCTGACACGTCTGCTGACAGCACTCTACGCTCTCAGTGGCAGACTCGTGATGCGCACGCTCGCTTTGCTATTCGCAACTCCCTGCCGCTAGACGAGCGCGAGCACTTCGGCCAGTGCAAGACTGCTAAGGACCTCTACACCGCTGTAGTTGCCCGTTACTCCTCACCCGCTTCTGCTACGCTAGGCCGCCTCACTCTCCCCTACCTGTTCCCCGACCTAGCCTCCTTTCACACTGTCGCAGACCTCATCACCCACCTTAAGACTAGTGAGGCCCGCTTTCGCGCTGCTATGCCTGCCGAGTTTCTCACTAGCAACCCCCCCCCGCTCTGGATCACTCTCTACCACATCGTCACCCGCCTCCCTGACTCTCTGCGCGCAGTCAGGGACCACTTCCTCTCTCGCTCCCCCACTGAGCTCACTGTTGCCCTCCTCGAGAAGGAACTGCTTGCAGCTGAGGCGAGCATCGTCGCTGTAGGCACCTCTCGTGGCGACCCCCGCACCCCGTTCTTCGAGGGGTGTTCCCCTTCCCCCCTCCTCCCCTCTGTCGCCTCTGCTGCTGCTGTCGACCTTCTTGGTGCTGAGAAGGTCGGGACCGCGTCTGCTTCGAGTGGGCGCCGCAGGAACAAGGGGGGCAGGGGTGGGGGTGGCGGCGGAGGAGGTGGGGGTGGAGGCGGTGGGAGTGGAGGCGCGACTGGGGAGGCTAGTGGCGGCAGTGGGGGAGGAGACAGCAGCGGCGGGAGCGGTGGCAGGGGTGGAGGCGGCAGCGGAGGTGGAGGTGGTCGTGGCGGCGGCAGGGGTGGAGGTGGCCGAGGCGGTGGTGGTGGCGGTGGTGGTCGTGGAGGCACTGGCGGAGGCCCGAGTCAGCAGCCCGCCCCGACGCTTCAGGCCGCCCGTGAGTGGTATGCGCAGCGTGGCTTTACCTGCACGTACGTCATTCGCACAGGTGACCGCAGCGGCCAGCAGTGTGGGAGGCCGCACCCCACGCACCGCTGCTTCGCGCGCCTTAACGACGCGTGGCGCACCCAGTTTCCTGATGCCGCTGAGCTGCCGCGCTGGGCTGATCTGGAAAAGAGGGGTGTTGATATTTGGGCTCTCACTGCCATGTATGCCATGTCTATTAGTGGAGAGGGTGCTCAGTACTTGCGTGTTCCGCCCGACCCGGGCATTCAGGCCAGTCCGGCTGCCGCTCTAGGTGCTAGTGCGTCTGCTCCCACAGGTCCTGGTGAGGCTGCTGCCCTAGGTGCTAGTGCGTCCGTGCCCCCTGGTACTGAGTTGACTGCAGCACTGCACACCTTCACACTGGACTCAGGTGCCTCTCGCTCTTTCTTTCGTGACCGCACTGTCCTTGAGCCACTCGCTCGGCCAGTTGCTGTCTCCCTTGCTGACCCCTCTGGGGGTCCGGTCATTGCCACCTCCTCCACTGTTCTTCCTTGTCCTGCGGTCCCGTCCGGCACGCTTTCAGGTCTCTACCTCCCCTCGTTCTCTACGAACTTGGTGGCGGGTTGTGCGCTCCAGGACTCGGGTGTTCACCAGTTCACCCCTGCCTACGAGCGCGTGACACACTGCACATGTGCTCGGACGGGTCGCCACCTGGCTACTTTCACTCGAGAGCCGGGGTCGGACCTGTACACACTGACCACTGAGTCCCCTCAGGTAGCTGCGTCTGCGTCTACGTCTGCGTCTGCGTCAGGTCAGCTGTCCGCCCCTTGCTCGTGTCGCTCTCTGGCGCATGAGACTGTCCTTTGGCACCACCGCCTTGGTCACCCGTCTGTGCAGCGCCTTCGGACCATGCACAAACGGGACCTTGTTGCTGGTCTTCCCAGGGTGCTCCCTCCCCTTCCCGACTCGCCTGCTCCTCCCTGTATTCCCTGTGTCGAGGGGCGGCAGCGCGCCGCTCCTCACTCCTCCTCCTTTCCCCCGACGACTGCTCCCTTGCAGACGCTCCACTTGGACGTGTGGGGCCCAGCCCGCGTCCGTGGACAGGGTCAGGAGCGGTACTTCCTGCTCGTTGTTGACGACTTCTCGCGCTACACCACGGTCTTCCCCTTGCGAGCCAAGGGTGACGTACCTGATGTCTTGATCCCTTGGATCCGCAGATCTCGTCTCCAGCTCACCAGGCGTTTCCGCTCCGACTTTCCTGTCCTGCGTCTGCACTCTGACAGAGGTGGGGAGTTTTCCTCTGGCCTCCTGGAGGCCTTCTGTCAGCAGGAGGGCATTGAGCAGTCGTTCACGCTTCCGGCCTCTCCACAGCAGAATGGGGTTGCTGAGCGCCGCATTGGTCTAGTCATGGAGGTCGCTCGTACCTCCTTGAGTCATGCGGCTGCCCCCCATTTTCTGTGGCCGTTTGCGGTCCGATACGCTGCGCATCAGCTCAACCTCTGGCCCCGTGTCTCCTTGCCCGAGACTTCTCCGACACTGCGTTGGACGGGAGAGGCTGGCGATGCGTCGCGTTTTCGGGTCTGGGGATCCCGAGCTTTTGTCCGCGACACGTCCGCGGACAAGCTCTCCCGTCGCGCTGTCCCCTGCGTCTTCCTTGGCTTTGTCCCGGACGCCCCTGGTTGGCAGTTCTACCACCCCACCTCGCGTCGTGTCCTGGCCTCTCAGGACGTCACTTTTGACGAGTCCGTCCCCTACTACCGCCTCTTCCCCTACCGCACTGCCCCGCACTGCCTCTCTTCCTCGCTCCAGGTGCTGAGGTACCAGACCCCCTCCCCCCTCAGGGTGCCGCTCCCTCAGGTGTGTCCCAGGTAGACCCGGGTGAGCCGGTCGAGGTAGCTGTTGACTCTCGTCCTGCGTCTGGGGGTGCTGAGCCTGGGGGTGCTGAGTCTGGGGGTGCGGAGCCTGGGGGTGTTGAGCCTGGAGGTGCGGAGCCTGGCGGTGCGGAGCCTGGAGGTGCTGAGCCTGGGGGTGCGGAGTCTGGGGGTGCTGAGTCTGGGGGTGCTGAGACTGAGCGTGCTACACCTGGAGGAGCCCTCTCCTCCCAGCAGCTGCAGGAGAGGTACCTCGAGTACTGCCGCCTCCGGAGAGGTGCTGCTGGAGCTCGTCCCGGTACTTCCCCTCCTACCCAGGAGCTCCCCCCCATTCAGCAGATCCGAGAGTGGTACACACGCCGCTGCAGTCTTCGGAGTGGTCCTCCGGGTGCTGCGGACCTTGGGGGTGGCGCTGCTACTGGTGCTGAGGACCCGGGCGTTGGGGCTGCTGCTGGTGCTGAGGACCCGGGCGTTGGAGCTGCTGCTGGTACTGCGGACCCGAGCGGTGGCGCTGCTGCTGGTGCTGAGGACCCGGGCGTTGGAGCTACTGCTGGAGCTGAGGACCCGGACGGTGGAGCTGCTGCTGGTGCTGAGGACCCGGGCGCTGGAGCTGCTGCTGGTGCTGAGGACCCGGGCGGTGGAGCTGCTGCTGGTGCTGAGGACTCGGACGTTGGAGCTACTGCTGGAGCTGAGGACCCGAGCGGTGGTGCTGCTGCTGGTGCTGAGGACCCGGCCGGTGGAGCTGCTGCTGGTGTTGAGGACCCGGACGTTGGGGCTGCTGCTGGTGCTGAGGACCCTGCCGCTGGTGTCTCTGCTGGTTCTGGAGACGCTACGCGGCCGCGACCGTACTTCGTACCACTTCTTCAGCAGGTTCTTGGTCAGGCTCCTCCTCCCTGTCCTCCTCCCTCAGTAGAGTGTCCTCCGCGTGTCCAGTCGCCGTCACAGTTACCGCCTGCCTCGCCTCTCCCTGCTCCCTCTCCTTACACTGGTCCCACGGGAGGTCTTACAGAGCGTCGTGAGCCTGAGTCTCGTCCTGCGTCGCCTGTTCGTACTACTCGCACTGGTCGTCGTGTCCCACGTGAGCGTCCTCCCCGTTAAATTGTAATGTGTTATATGTTGGTAGGCTGTAGTGGGGTAGCTGATATGGGGTACAACCCCAACTAGGGTTTGCTACTTGTACCCAATTCTTCCATTCAATGCATCATTCTTGCCTAGTTCTCTTAACATGGTATTCAGAGCAGGAGGTCCCTAGGACCTACCGACCGTTTTTTTTTAAGGGCCCACCACCGCTCGCATGCGGTTACCACGCTACCCCGTGCCCTAGCCTCGTAGCGCCCTCGCGCGCCCTCGTTAGCGCCCTCGCGCGCCCTCGTTAGCGCCCTCGCGCGCCTCTCGTTAGCGCCCTCGCGCGCCCTCGCTAGCGCCCTCGCGCGCCCCTCGCAGCGTCGCCCGCCCGCCGTGCTGCCCGCTTCGCAGCCCGCCCGCCGCGCTGCCCGCTCGCAGCGTCGCCCGCTCGCCCGCTGCCCGCTTCGCAGCGTCGCCCGCCCGCCGCGCTGCCCGCTTGCAGCGTCGCCCGCCCGCCCGCTGCCCGCTTCGCGGCCCGCCCGCCGCGCTGCCCGCTCGCAGCGTCGCCCGCCCGCCTCGCTGCCCGCTTGCAGCGTCGCCCGCCCGCCCGCTGCCCGCTTGCAGCGTCGCCCGCCCGCCCGCTGCCCGCTTCGCAGCCCGCCCGCCGCGCTGCCCGCTCGCCGCGTCGCCCGCCCGCCCCGCTGCCCGCTTCGCAGCCCGCCCGCCGCACTTCCCGCCTGCAGCGCCGCCTGCCCGCCGCGCTGCCCGCTTCGTAGCCCGCCCCCCGCACTGCCCGCTCGCCGAGTCGCCCGCCCGCCGCGCTTCCCGCCGAGCTACCTACCTGCAGCGCTGCGGCAGCTTCCCTGCTCCATCGCACTGTCCCTATGGCTTCCATCCGCGTACTGTCGTTCGATGCTGAGGGCCGCCCTGTGAAGTTCGCCACTTGGCTGGATGACCTGCAGCTGTTCCTTCTGAGCGATAGCAAGGAGCATGTGTCGCTCTATGATTACGCGTCTGGTGCTGCACCTGCCCCTCCTGCCACAGCTGAGCTTAGTGTTCGTTCCCACTGGCAGACTCGTGACGCAGCTGCTCGCCTAGCCATTCGCAGTCACCTCCCGCTAGCTGAGCTAGAGCATTTTGGCGACTGCAAATCCGCTAAGGCCCTGTACGATGCTGTCGTTGCTCGCTACTCCTCGCCTGCCACAGCCGAGCTTAGCCGCCTCATGCTGCCGTACCTGTTCCCTGATCTGTCCGCCTTTGCTACAGTCGCCGATCTTATCACCCACCTTCGCACTAGTGATGCTCGCCTGCGTGCTGCCCTTCCCACCGAGTTCTGCGCTAAGAACCCCCCTCCACTGTACTGGACACTCCACTTCATAGTCACCCGACTCCCTGACACCCTCAGCTCAGTTCGAGACCACTTCCTTGCTCGCTGTCCCACTGAGCTCACAGTCGCCCTCCTAGAGGAGCAGCTGCTAGCGGCCGAAAAGAGCATTGTAGCTGTCGGTGCTGCTTGAGGCGCTCCTCGCACCCCCATCTTTGAGGGGTGTTCTCCCTCTCCCCTCGCTCCCTCCTACGCTACTGCTGCTGCTGTTGACTTCCTTGGTGCTGAGTCTGCTGGCGCTGCTTCTGCTCCTGGTGGGAGGCGCCGCACCGGCAAGGGCAAGGGGGGCAAGGGTGGCGGGGGTGGCGCTGGGGGGGGAGGAGGTGGGGGAGGTGGGGGGGGAGGCGGTGCTGGAGGGAGCGGTGGCGGGAGTGCTGGTGGGAGTGGGGTCGGCAGCGGAGGCGGGGGCGGCGGAGGGAGCGGTGGCGGTGGTGGCGGCGGCGGCGGTGGCGGCGGCGGCGGCGGTGGCGGCGGCGGCGGTGGCGGTCGGAGCGGAGGTAGTGGTGGTGGCGGAGGTCGGAGTGGAGGCACTGGCTCGGGCCAGAGCTCCCAGCAGCAGCAGCGTCCCCAGACGACCCAGCAGCTTCGTGAGTGGCTTGCTCAGCGTGGGACGTCGGGGGCAATGGCCGCTGTTCCTATGTCATTCGCACAGGTGACCGCAAGGGACAGACGTGTGGGAGGTTCCACACCCCGTACCGCTGCTTCTCCCGCCTTGACGACGCTTGGCGTGAGGAGATGGGCGAGGATGTTGAGCGCCCCCGCTGGGCTGAGCTCATGAGGGCTGGTGTTGATATCTTTGCTCTTGACTATGATGCTATTATTGCTGCCATGTATGCATTGACTGTTAGTGCCGAGGGAGACTGTTACTTGTGTGTGCCGCCTGACCCAGGTATAGAGCCCGCTGCCCTGGGTACTAGTGAGTCTGCTCTCTCTGGTATGGTGCCCCCTGTACTTGCCCCCTCCAGTGCTGTCCCGGCTGTTTGCGAGTCTGCTCTCTCAGGTACAGCACCCACAGAGACTGCTCTCTCAGGTACCGCACCGGCTGAGGCCTGTCACACCTTCACCCTTGACTCAGGTGCTTCCCGCTGTTTCTTTCGTGACAGTACTGAGCTCACACCGCTTCCTGCACCGGTCCCAGTCTCCTTGGCTGACCCCTCTGGGGGCCCAGTCCTTGCCCAGTCCACCACTGTGCTCCCTTGTCCGGCGGTTCCGTCTGGCTCGTTGTCGGGTTTCCACCTCCCCTCGTTCTCGACGAACCTGGTGAGCAACGCTGTCATCCAGGATCAGTGGGTTGACACCTTTACCCCTGGAGGACAGCGTGTGGCGATCTGCACGTGCTCCAGGACCGGCCGTCACCTGGCTACGTTTACCCGTCGGCCGGGGTCGAGTCTCTACACACTGACCACTGCGTCTCCTCAGGTTGCTGCTGTCGGTCAGGTGTCCGCGTCAGGTCTGGTGGCCCACGCCTGTGAGTGTCGTTCCCTGTCGCACCAGACTCTTCTCTGGCACCACCGCCTGGGTCACCCCTCCTTGCCACGCCTCCGTGGCATGCACCGTCGCTGCCTTGTGTCTGGTCTTCCCAGGTCCCTCCCTCCCCTCCCTGCCTCGCCTGCGCCGCCTTGCCTTCCTTGCGTCGAGGGACGGCAGCGCGCCGCTCCTCACTCCTCCTCGTTCCCCCCGACAGAGGCTCCTCTGCAGACCCTCCACCTGGACGTGTGGGGCCCAGCCCGCGTTCGTGGCCAGGGCGGTGAGCGGTACTTTTTGCTGGTTGTCGACGACTACTCGCGTTACACCACGGTCTTCCCCTTGCGCACCAAGGGTGAGGTCCCTGCTGTTCTGATCCCTTGGATCCGCACAGTTCGTCTCCAGCTCCGCCGCCGTTTCCGGACGGATCTTCCTGTCCTGCGTCTGCATTCTGACAGAGGTGGTGAGTTTTCCTCCGATCTCTTGAGGACCTTCTGTCAGGCGGAGGGCATCGAGCAGACCTTCACGCTTCCGGACTCCCCACAGCAGAATGGGGTTGCTGAGCGCCGCATTGGCCTGGTCATGGAGGTCGCTCGTACCTCCTTGGTCCACGCGGCGGCTCCCCATTTTCTGTGGCCGTTTGCTGTCCGGTACGCTGCGCATCAGCTCAACCTCTGGCCCCGTGTCTCCTTGCCGGAGACCTCGCCCACACTGCGTTGGACGGGGGAGGTTGGTGATGCGTCGCGCTTCCGGGTGTGGGGTGCTCGTGCCCTTGTCCGCGATACGTCCGCGGACAAGCTCTCCTCCCGCACGCTTCCCTGTGTCTTTCTTGGCTTTGTCCCTGACGCGCCGGGCTGGCAGTTTTACCACCCCACCTCTCGCCGGGTCTTCGCCTCTCAGGACGTCACCTTTGACGAGTCGGTCCCTTTTTACCGTCTCTTCCCCTACCGCACTGCCCCCCTCCCTCCCCCGCCGCTTTTCCTTGCTCCTGGTCCCCCTCCGGTAGACCCCCTTCCCCCTCAGGGTCCTGCCCCTTCAGGTGTCTCTCAGGTAGACCCTCCTCCCGTCGCTGAGCCTGTCGAGGTCACAGGTGACTCAGGTGCTGCTGCAGGTGGTGCTGCTGGGAGTGCTGAGCCTGGGGGTGCTGAGCCTGCGGGTGCTGGGCCTAGGAGTACTGGGACTGCGGGTGCTGGAGCTGAGGGTACTGTGCCTGGGAGTTCGGCGCCTGGGGGTGCTGAGCCTGGGGGTGCTACGACTGGGGGTGCTGAGCCTGCGTGTACGGAGCCTGGGGTTGCTGCGTCTGGGAGTTCGGCGCCTGGGGGTGCTGAGCCTGGGGGTACTGTGACTGGGAGTGCTGTGCCTGCGGGTACTGAGCCTGGGGGTGCTGCTACTGAGCCTACGGAGCCTCGGGTTGCTGCGTCTGGGGGTGCTCCGGTTCGGGGTGCTGAGCAGTCTCTCACACCGCAGCAGCTTCGTGACTGGTACGTCCGGCGCTTTCGCCGTCCTTGTGGCTCGGCTGGAGCTGGGGGTGCTGGAGCTGCTCGTCCTGGGGGTGCTCGTACTGGGGGTACTGGAGCTGCTGGGACTGGTTGTTCCGGGAGCGCTGCGACTGGAGCTACTGGAGCTGGGGACTCTGGAGCTGGCGGTGCTAGCGGAGTTGGAGCTGCCGACTCTGGGGGTGCTTTTCCTAGCGGTGCTGCGGACCCTCGGGGTGGCGCTGCTGCTGGTGCTGCGGACCCACCTGGTGGAGCTGCTGCTGGTGCTGAGGACTCGGTCGTTGGAGCTCCTGCTGGTACTGAGGACCCGGCCGCTGGAGTCTCTTCTGCTTCTGGAGACGCTGCGCGGCCGCGACCGTACTTCGTACCGCTCCTTCAGCAGGTTCTTGGGCAGGCTCCTCCTCCTTGTCCTCCTCCCTCCGTAGAGTGTCCTCCGCCTGTCCAGCCGCAGTCACAGTTACCGCCTACCTCGCCTCTCCCTGCTCCCTCTCCTTACACTGGTCCCACAGGAGGTCTTACAGAGCGTCGTGAGCCTGAGTCTCGTCCTGCGTCGCCTGTTCGTACTGCTCGCACTGGTCGTCGTGTCCGTCGTGAGCGTCCTCCTCCTGTCCCCGGCACTCACTACATGACTCTGCGTCCATCTACTGCTCCTCAGCGTGTCCCTCTACCGTCTCCTCCTGCGTCCTCTTTGCCTGCCGTTCCGGACCCTGAGTCTGACCGGTATCGTGCTGAGCACCCTACTGTCACGCGTCTCCTAGCTACTGTTGTCACTGACCCTACATTTGAGTCCTCGGCTGCGTCTGCTCTGGTCGCTGAGTTGGTTGACTTTGCTGCTGCCTGTCGTCTAGACTACGCTGCTAGCCTGGTTGCTGCGTCTGAGTCTGCGTCTGTCTGTCCTCCGTCCGTCGGGGGTGAGTGTGCTCTTGGCACGGACGTCCTTGAGGACAGGCAGGAGGACTTTGACTCTCTCGCGGCTGCTGTACCTCATCTCGTGGCCTGGTTGCTTGCCCCTGAGGGAGACCCGGATGCACTAGACATCCCCACTCCGCGCACTTACGCAGAGGCGATCTCGGGTCCCTACTCCTCTCAGTGGCAGACAGCCATGGACGCAGAGATGGCATCCTGGAAGTCCACAGGCACCTACGTCGACGACGTTCCCCCTCCTGGGGCGAACATCGTCGATGGCATGTGGATTTTCAGGGTGAAGCGGCCGCCAGGTTCTCCGCCTGTCTTCAAGGCTCGTTACGTTGCTAGAGGCTTCAGTCAGCGTCAGGGGGTTGACTTCTTCCAGACCTTCTCCCCCACCCCGAAGATGACCACTCTTCGGGTTCTGCTGCACGTTGCTGCTCAGCGTGACTACGAGCTTCACTCTCTTGACTTCAGCACAGCGTTCCTGCAGGGCAGCCTGCACGAGGAGATCTGGCTGCGCCGCCCACCTGGCTTTACTGGGTCGTTTCCTCCTGGTACCCAGTGGAGCCTCCGCCGGCCAGTCTACGGTCTCCGCCAGGCGCCACGTGAGTGGCACGACACACTGAGGACTACACTTGCGGCTCTTGGGTTCGCGCCGTCTACTGCTGACCCGTCGCTGTTTCTGCGCACAGACACGTCGCTGCCGCCGTTCTACATTCTCGTGTACGTCGACGACTTGGTCTTTGCTACTGCTGACACTGAGGCACTCGCTCGTGTGAAGTCGGAGCTGCAGAAGAGACACACCTGCACTGACCTGGGTGAACTGCGTAGCTACCTTGGCTTGCAGATCACCCGGGACAGAGCTCGCCGCACCATCACCCTGACTCAGTCACACATGGTGCAGCAGGTCCTTCAGCGCTTCGGCTTCCAGTTCTCCTCACCACAGGCCACACCTCTGGCTACCAGCCACTCGCTCTCAGCTCCACCTTCGGACGAGTCCGTAGAGCCGAGTGGCCCGTATCCAGAGCTTGTAGGCTGCCTCATGTACCTGATGACTTGCACACGACCTGACCTCGCGTACCCTCTTAGCATCCTTGCTCGTTACGTTGCGCCTGGGAGACACAGGAGAGAGCACTGGGAGGCTGCTAAGAGGGTGCTGCGTTACTTGTGCAGTACATCAGGCATGGGGCTGGTGCTTGGAGGACACGACAGAGTTGTTCTCACTGGTCACTCGGACGCTTCTTGGGTGGACGACTTGGCTACGCAGCGGTCGTCGCAGGGTTACACCTTCAGCCTTGGCTCTGGTTCTGTCTCGTGGCGGTCCACCCGTTCTTCTTCTGTTCTCAGCTCTAGTTGTGAGGCTGAGATCTACGCCACGGCCATGGCTGCACAGGAGTTACGCTGGCTCACCTACCTGCTGACTGACTTGGGAGAGCGGCCTAGTTCTCCTCCAGTTCTGTACGGCGACAACAAGGCGGCCCTTGCCTTGTGTCAGGAGCACAGACTGGAGCACAGGACGAAGCACATTGCTCTTCGCTACTTTCTTGCTCGAGAGCTGCAGCAGCGAGGTCAGCTTCGGCTTGTGTACGTGGACTCGAAGGCCAACACTGCTGATATCTTCACCAAGGCGCTCCCGCCTAGTGATCATCAGCGGCACTGTACTTCTTTAGGCCTTGTGTCCACGTTTCCTCACTTGCTCACTGCTTGACATTCTTTGTACTGTACTTTATATATATCTTGTTGCTTGTCTTGTACTATATCTAGCACTGCATGTGAACTGGCCTTGTGGCCTTTGCTTGTGCTCGGAGTGTGGTGACTTTGTGATCCACCCTGGGCTTGCGTTGCTTTGCTGGACTGGTCTTGTGACCCTTTGTTCTCCCCCACTTTGCCTATGGGGGTGTGTTAAATTGTAATGTGTTATATGTTGGTAGGCTGTAGTGGGGTAGCTGATATGGGGTACAACCCCAACTAGGGTTTGCTACTTGTACCCAATTCTTCCATTCAATGCATCATTCTTGCCTAGTTCTCTTAACACGTCCTCCTCCTGTCCCTGGCACTCACTACATGACTCTGCGTCCCTCCACTGCTCCTCAGCGTGTCCCGCTACCGTCTCCTCCTGCTTCCTCTCTGCCTACTCTTCCTGACCCGGAGTCTGACTCCCGTCGTGCTGCCAGTCCCACTGTCACCCGTCTCCTCGCTACTGTTGTCACTGACCCTGCCTTTGAGTCCTCTGCTGCGTCTGCTCTAGTCGCTGAGTTGATCGACTTTGCTGCCCGGTGTCGTCTAGACTATGCCACTAGCCTTGTTGCTGAGTCTGAGTCTGAGTCTGTCTGTCCTCCGTCCGTCGGGGGTGAGTGTGCTCTTGGCACGGACGTCCTTGAGGACAGACAGGAGGAGTTCCAGTGCTTTGCTGCTGCTTTACCCCACCTCGTGTCCATGCTAGTTGCCCCTGAGGGAGACCCGGATGCACCAGACATCCCGACCCCGCGCACTTACGCTGAGGCGATGGCGGGTCCCTACTCCTCTCAGTGGCAGACAGCCATGGACGCAGAGATGGCTTCCTGGAAGTCCACACGCACCTACGTCGACGAGGTTCCCCCACCTGGGGCGAACATCGTCAGTGGCATGTGGATTTTCAGGGTGAAGCGGCCACCGGGTTCTCCTCCTGTCTTCAAGGCGCGCTATGTGGCTCGAGGCTTCAGTCAGCGAGAGGGAGTTGACTTCTTTCAGACCTTCTCCCCCACCCCGAAGATGACCACTCTTCGGGTGCTGCTGCACATAGCCGCTCAGCGCGACTACGAGCTTCACTCACTTGACTTCAGCACTGCTTTCTTGCAGGGCAGCCTGCACGAGGAGATCTGGCTGCGCCGCCCTCCTGGCTTCACTGGGTCGGTTCCTCCTGGTACCCAGTGGAGGCTTTAGCGGCCGGTCTACGGTCTCCGCCAGGCACCACGTGAGTGGCACGACACACTGAGGACGACACTTGCGGCTCTTGGGTTCGCTCCCTCTACTGCTGACCCGTCACTGTTTCTACGCACAGACACCTCACTGCCGCCGTTCTACATCCTCGTGTACGTCGACGACTTGGTCTTTGCCACTGCTGACACCGCGGCACTTGCCCACGTGAAGTCGGAGCTGCAGAGGAGACACACGTGTACAGACCTGGGTGAACTGACAAGCTATCTTGGCTTGCGGATCACCCGGGACAGAGCACGGCGCACCATCACCTTGACTCAGTCACACATGGTGCAGCAGATCCTTCAGCGCTTCCGCTTCACGTACTCCTCGCCTCAGTCCACTCCTCTGCCTACCGGTCACTCGCTCTCAGCTCTGCCTTCGGATGAGTCCGTAGAGCCGAGTGGCCCGTATCCAGAGCTTGTGGGCTGCCTCATGTACCTGATGACCTGCACTCGACCTGACCTTGCATACCCTCTTAGCATCCTTGCACGCTATGTCGCTCTTGGCCGTCACAGGAAGGAGCACATGGATGCCGCTAAGAGGGTGTTGCGCTACTTGTGCAGTACGTCGGGCATGGGGCTAGTGCTTGGAGGGCGAGACCGAGTTGTACTTACTGGACACTCAGACGCTTCTTGGGCGGACGACCAGGCTACTCAGCGGTCGTCTCAGGGTTACACCTTCAGCCTTGGCTCCGGCTCAGTTTCTTGGCGTTCTACACGCTCTTCTTCTGTTCTCAGCTCCAGTTGTGAGGCTGAGATCTACGCCACAGCCATGGCTGCCCAGGAGCTTCGCTGGCTGACCTACCTGCTGACCGACTTGGGTGAGCGGCCTCGTTCTCCTCCAGTGCTGTACGTCGACAACCAGGCTGCCATTGCCTTGTGTGAGGAGCACAGACTGGAGCACAGAACGAAGCACATCGCCCTGCGGTACTTCCTTGCTCGAGAGCTGCAGCAGCGCGGTCAGCTTTGTCTGCGTTACGTGGCCACTGAGGCCAACCTTGCTGATGTGTTCACCAAGGCGCTTCCGCCTTGTGACCATCAGCGCTTCTGCACTCTGCTAGGCCTTGTGCCTACTGGACCTCACTTACTTACCTCTTGACCTTGCTTGTACTGTGATCACTATATATATATATATATATATATATATATATATATCTACCTGCATGTTTACTCTTGCTAGGTTGTGATCACTGTATCTCATGCTCTGTTATAAACCTGCATGTGAACTGGTCTTGTGACCACTAGCTTGTGCTCGGAATTTGTGTGGTATCCTTGAGATCCACCCTGAGCTTGTTGTTGCCTTGCTTTGCCTTGACTGGTCTTGTGACCCCTAGGTCTCCCCCACTTTGCCTATGGGGGTGTGTCAAACATTATATGTGTTGTGTTTGTGTAGGCTGTAGTGGGTTAGCCTATAGGGGGGTCACAACATTAGGGTTTCATATTTGTACTCACAATCCTTTCTAGTTCACCATTCCAGTCCGTTATCACTGACATAAAGATGGCATTTGTGAGTTCAAAAACCCATAATAGTGCTCGAAAGTTCTTGGGAGTGAAGCGAGACCGATTGGTCAGGGACCTCAACGACGGAAAATTGCACGCTCCATGATCTGCACAGGTGCGGCTGTTTTCGCATCTCGGGGCTACAAACGTCCCAAACGAGGTTTTTTTTTCAATGTAAAGACGTCATTTGTGAATTTGCAAACCCACAATTATGCTGGAAAGTGCCTAGGAGTGAAGCGAGAGCGATTGGTCAAGGACCTCCACGACGGAAAATTGCCTGCTCCATGATTTGCACAGGTGCGGCTGTTTTCGCTTCTCGGGGCTACAAACGTCCGAAACGAGCGTTTTTGCTTCAATGTATAGACGTCAGTTGCGAGTTCGCGGACCCGCAGTTATGCTGGAAAGTGCACGGGAGTGAAGCGAGAGCGATTGGTCAGGGACCTCCATGACGGAAAATTGCCTCCTCCATGATATGCACAGGTGCGGCTGTTTTTGCTTCTCGGGGCTACAAACGTCCGAAACGAGGTTTTTCCTTCAATGTAATTATGAGTTGACGGACCCGTAATCATGTTGGAAAGTGCCTGGGAGTGAAGCGAGAGTGATTGGTCAGGGACCTCCACGACGGAAATTTGCCCGCTCCATGATCTGCACAGGTGCGGCTGTTTTCGCTTCTCGGGGCTACAAACGTCCGAAACAAGGTTTTTTCGGGCACACGCTAGGCACTTGTTCTTGCAATTTTGCACTCACTAGATACTTGTTCTTGCAATTTTGCACACGCTAGGCACTTGTTCTTGCAATTTTGCACACACTAGGCCCTTGTTCTTGCAATTTTGCACACGCTAGGCACTTGTTCTTGCAATTTTGCACATACTAGGCACTTTTTCTTGCAATTTTGCACACGCTAGGCACTTGTTCTTGCAATTTTGCACACGCTAGGCACTTGTTCTTGCAATTTTGCACACGCTAGGCACTTGTTTTTGTCATTTTGCACACGCTAGGCACTTGTTCTTGCAATTTTGCACACGCTAGGCACTTGTTCTTGCAATTTTGCACACGCTAGGCACTTGTTCTTGCAATTTTGCACTCACTAGACACTTGTTCTTGCAATTTTGCACACGCTAGGCACTTGTTCTTGCAATTTTGCAGACGTTAGGCCCTTGTTCTTGCAATTTTGAAGACGCTCACTAGACACTTGTTCTTGCAATTTTGCACACGCTAGGCACTTATTTTCGCAATTTTGCACACACTAGGCACTTGTTCTTGCAATTTCGCACACGCTATGCACTTGCTCTTGCATTTTTGCATACGCTAGGCACTTGTTCTTGCAATTTTGAACTTACTAGACACTTGTTCTTGCAATTTCACACACGCTAAGCACTTGTTCTTGCAATTTTGCACACGCTAGGCACTTGTTCTTGCAATTTTGCACACGCTAGGCACTTGTTCTTGCAATTTTGCACTCACCAGGCACTTGTTCTTGCAATTTTGCACACGCTAGGCACTCGTTTTTGCAATTTCGCACACGCTAGGCACTTGTTCTTGCAATTTTGCACACGCTAAGCCCTTGTTCTTGCAATTTTGAACTCACCAAACACTTGTTCTTGCAACTTTGCACAGGCTAGGCACTTGTTCTTGCAATTTTGCACACGCTAGGCACTTGTTCTTGCAATTTTGCACACGCTAGGCACTTGTTCTTGCAATTTTGCACACGCTAGGCACTTGTTCTTGCAATTTTGCACTCACCAGGCACTTTTTCTTGCAATTTTGCACACGCTAGGCACTTGTTCTTGCAATTTTGCACACGCTATGGACTTGTTCTTGCAATTTTGCACATGCTAGGCAGTTGTTCTTGCAATTTTGAACTCACTAGACACTTGTTTTTGCAAATTTGAGCTCACTAGACACTTGTTCTTGCAATTTTGCACACGCTAGGCACTTGTTCTTGCAATTTTGCAGACGCTAGGCACTTGTTCTTGCAATTTGGAACTCACTAGACACTTGTTCTTGCAATTTTGCACACGCTAAGCACTTATTTTCGCAATTTTGCACACACTAGGCACTTGTTCTTGCGATTTCGCACACGCTATGCACTTGTTCTTGCGTTTTTGCACACGCTAGGCACTTATTCTCACAATTTTGCACACACTAGGCACTTGTTCTTGCAATTTTGCACATGCTGAGCACTTATTCTTGCAATTTTGCACACGCTAGGCACTTGTTCTTGCAATTTTGCAGACGCTAGGCACTTGTTCTTGCAATTTTGCACACGCTAGGCACTTGTTTTTGTCATTTTGCATACGCTAGGCACTTGTTCTTGCAATTTTGAACACGCAAGGCACTTGTTCTTGCAATTTTGCACTCACCAGGCGCTTGTTCTTGCAATTTTGCAGACGCTATGCCCTTGTTCTTGCAATTTTGCACACGCTATGCCCTTGTTCTTGCAATTTTGCACACGCTAGGCACTTGTTCTTGCAATTTTGCACACGCTAGGCACTTGTTCTTGCAATTTTGCACACGCTATGCCCTTGTTCTTGCAATTTTGCACACTCATTAGGCACTTGTTCTTGCAATTTTGCACTCACTAGGCAGTTTTTCTTGCAATTTTGCACACGCTAGGCACTTGTTCTTGCAATTTTGCACTCACATATCAGGCCAACCTCATATCAAGATTGAAAAACCCGAGACATTCGTTTTAAATCCGAAATGTAGTACTTGTATTGCGCGAGAAAAAACATGCGCACGAGAAAAAACGCACGCGGGAAAAAATGTGCGCGCGGAACCTTTAAAGCGAGCCACATCAGCAAACCACGTGTGGCAGATCTACTGCAGCACGCAAATGCAGCAATGTGTCGGCGGTGTGAGAGTACAACGGCTTATGCCAGCTATGCATGCTTTCTTTTATCTTATTACGCTATTGCTAGCTTAGGTTTATTTTATGCATGCATGAATTGCTTGATTTCCTAGGCTAGGTGCTTTCCTATATTTTATTATAGTTATAGCACCGAGCTAGGTTGCGTACACCGAATTCTGAGCTATTCGGTTGCCACCGAATTGCCTTCTACCGAATTCGGGAAGGGTCTGTTCGGGACGCTTCGCGACCCCCAGAACCTTCGCGTAACACCTGGTTACTGCCCCTTGTGTCGAGCCTATATATAGCCTCGTGTTGTACCCAGGTGATCATTCAATTCAAACTCTCTTTTCTGAGCTCGATCCTAGATCCTCACACTTGGTAATCAGAGCCCGTTTACACGCGAAAAAATTTTCGACCGCTAAAACCGAGTCTTCAAAAACCGCGGGGGCGACGCAGTTAAACATCGATTTCGGGTACGTAAAACCGGTTCCGTGTTTTTCGCTCCCCCTCGTTTCGGTTTTTTCGGACGCGCAATGTCAGGCATGGAGGGCCAAGGCGACAACTATGCGACCACGAGCGACATCGCGAGCCTCCGCACCGACATGGAGCAGACGCAGGCGGCGCTACGACGACTCGAGGCCCTTCTGACACACCAACCAGGAATCGCCACCGCAGCAGCAGCGACGGCAGCAGCGAACGTAGCAGCGACAACACCAGCAGCAGTGGCGACACCGACATTTCACGGTCCGATGGCACCACTGTCGCCGAACCTCGAAGCAGCACGACCGAGGCTCCCTGAAGCGTTCGATCCCAGCGCGAAGGGATCCGACGTCCGGCGATTCGTGGCAACCCTCGAAATTTACTTCGAGGCCATTGGCTGTTCGACCCCGACACACGACGCAGCAAGGATTCGGCTCGCAGCGACACTGTTACGTGGACCGGCACTGGAGTGGATTTACTACACTGACGTGGCCCGCGGGGAGAAATCGTGGGCGCAGTTTCGGGCAGACTTAATCGAACGTTTCGAACCGATTAACACGACCTACATGGCGCGGCAGCAAATACATCGACACAAGCAATACAGTAGTGTAGCACAGTACACGCAGCAGATGGAGCTACTGTTCAACCGCATCACCGACCTGACCGAAGGCGAAAAAATCCAGGCGTACACAGAAGGGTTAAAATTAGAGATTCGGCGGCAGGTGATTGCGGCGAATTACAACAGCTATCGCGACATCGTGCGTGCTGCCGAGCGATGAGACGCGTTGACTCGAGGTCAACCCGAAACACGACGTTTCGCGCCGAACCGTACATTCGGCACGGAGCGATCGGCACCCCCCACGTTCGCCGAACCGATGGACATCGACAAATACGACGCGAAGCAGCAGCCGACAAAATGCGAGTTTTGCGGCGCAGCAGGGCATCAGTTTTTGTCGTGCTACAAAATGAAGAAGGCACGTGCGGCACTCCGGGACGGTAACAGTGGAGCACCCCCGAAGTAAAAAAACGGCAATCGCCAGTAGCCGCGGATCGACCTGGCGATCGCGTAAAGATCCGAAAAGGAGAAAAAGCCGACGACGTGGCGACTTCGGAGCGGGTGAAAAAAGGAGAAAATGATGACGCGAATTTGAAACGTCACGACCGGCCGGCATCAGGGGAAATCGCCGAGGCGAATGGAGGCTCCGCGAAAAAAGACTCTGCACCGACCGGGAAACTCCAGCCGAACACCCACGAAAATAAGAATTCATTAAAAGTATCCTATAAAGATACTCTAACGAAAAACATTGCTTCTCGTGGTTTTCAAGCCTTTGAAAAATTCAGGGGAGGTTTAGAGGCCAAGAAAAAGCCTTTAGAAATTATTCAGGTACCTGAGAAGTTGGGCAAAGTACTACGGAGCGTAGAAAAGGGTCGTGCGTTCCGTGGAGTTAATATTCTCTCCCCACAGCATAGTGTTAAGGCTCCCCGTTGCCCACAGGTGAAGCCTACACAGCTGCAAAGGCTTAGAGGGGACATCCAGGCTCAGGAGAAATTATACAAGCCTCGGAAAAATCCTCCTACCCCCCAGGTGAAGTTGGAAAGTGCTGAGTCAGGTATAGGAAATAGGGAAGGTATTCATTTTGATGTACCCTATGATCCTATTAATGAGACCCTCTTTGGCTACTCAGCGCAGCAGAAACCACTACTCCTCGAGGTGTTATGCAATGGGCGACGCCTCCAGGCACTGGTGGACAGCGGTGCATCTCACTCGGTGTGTGACCGCGGAACATTGGAGAAAATTGGAGAAAAAGCGGAGGAGACCCAATTCTCTACAACAATGGTGGACGGTACGAAGCTTCCCATCCACGGCGAAGCATCACTGCAGCTGCACATAGGGGCGCTAAGGTGGAAGCCGACGTTGCCGATCACCAATATCAAGGGACTAGATTTCATCTTGGGGCGAGATTTCCTGAAGCGGTTCAACCCCGAGATAGATTGGGTCAACAGCAAAGTGTGCATCTACAACAACGGGAAGCGGATAGCACTGCGAAGCTGGACGGATACAGGGGACATTCCTGAGACGACACTGGCACGGTTCGAACAGACGGTAAACGAGAGCAACACGGGTTACTTAGCACTGGTCATGGCAGCAGCAGAGGAGGAGAAGCCGAGTTCCGAGCTACCTGCAGCAGTGAAGGAGGTCTTGGAGCAGTACAAGGACATAATGCCCGACGACCTACCTGCAGGCGTACCTCCAGCACGCACCCATGAGCACGAGATCGTGGAGGAACCAGGTGCAAAACCCGTCTCACGTGCACCATACCGACTGAGTCCGACCGAGCTGACAGACATGAAAAAACAGATCGAATATTTACTGGACAGACAACTGATCCGCCCATCCACATCTCCCTACGGTGTGTCAGAGGTCCACTGGAGATCCCCGATGATCCTAGGGAAGGGTTACAGGCACGTCGGCCTGGGGGGTTATGGGCGCACTCACCCGCCATACAAACAAGCCCTTTTATCCCAGTGGTTAGTGGCTGGGATTCTGACATGTTATCAGAGCGAAGGTCTCGGGTTCGATTCCCGGTGTGTGCACTTCGGGCATCCCAGTGCGGGGGGGTGTCAGAGGTCCACTGGAGATCCCCGATGATCCTAGGGAAGGGTTACAGGCACGTCGGCCTGGGGGGTTATGGGCGCACTCACCCGCCATACAAACAAGCCCTTTTATCCCAGTGGTTAGTGGCTGGGATTCTGACACGGTGCACCAGTTCTCTTCACCCCAAAGCCAGACGGCAGTCTACGGATGTGCATCGACTACCCCATACCGCGCATCGACGACGTAATGGACCAACTGTGTGGTGCAACAGTTTTCTCGAAACTGGACCTACGGTCGGGTTACTGCCAGATCAAGATGGCGGACAACTCGATCCACAAGACGGCGTTTCGTACAAGATACGGCTCCTACGAATACTTGGTGATGCCGTTCGGACTCTGCAACGCACCGGCGACGTTCCAGGCAGAGATGAACCACATCCTCCGGCCCCTGCTGGACGAATGCGTAGTAGTGTACCTGGACGATATCCTCATCTACTCCAAGAACATGAAGGAGCACGTGGAGCATCTGCGGAAGGTGTTCGAGATCCTGCGGAAAAATAAGTTCTACGTGAAGCTGTCGAAGAGCGACTTCGCCCTGAAGAAGGTGCAGTTTCTCGGGCACATGGTGAGTGCCGAGGGCGTACACGTGGACCCGCGGAAGATCGAAGCCGTTAAAAAGTGGAAAGTTCCGGAGAACGTGAAGGAGTTACAGCAGTTCCTCGGCTTCGCCAACTACTACAACAGGTTTGTGCCGCAGTACGCTAAGATAGCAGCGCCACTGACAGACCTACTGAAAAAGGATACGCCCTTCAAATGGGATGCTCCTCATCAGCAAGCCATGGAGCAGCTACAGACAGCACTGACCACAGCGCCAGTACTCATCCTACCGGATCCAGACAAGGACTACGTAGTTGAAGCAGACGCTAGTGACCAAGCAGTCGGAGCAGTACTGATGCAGGATCACGGGAACGGTTTACAGCCTATCGCCTACCTCAGTAAGAAGTTACACGGAGCAGAACTGAACTACCCCATTCACGACAAGGAAGCCTTAGCTATAGTCGTAGCCTTCAAGGCGTGGAGGTGTTACCTAGAGGGAGCCAAGACCACAGTCTACACTGACCACTGCAGTCTTAAGTACCTGAAGTCGCAGCCGACGCTCTCACGACGACAGGTGCGGTGGGTGGATTTCTTGGAAACTCACTTCCACTACGACATCGTCTACAAACCTGGGCTACACAACAAAGCTGACGCGTTGAGCCGCCCCGGTCATGTAGCAGGCATCCAGCTCGACGGGATGAACCCTCTGCTCAAGGGTCTATTCCAACATGGGTACTCCGTGGATGGCGAGATCGCAACGGCAGAGAAACAGAAGCTGTTACAGTGGGAGAAAGACTTAGCTGTAAGGAAGGGTTCAGGAAAGATTTGGGTACCGAACTACGCCCCGCTACGGCAGATCCTTCTAGAGGAGTTTCATGACGTACCATACGCGGGACATTTCGGGAGCAACAAGACGTTAGCGGGAATAGCGAAGTATTACTACTGGCCGCGTGCGACACGTGCCAGCGGATGAAGAGTAGCAAGCAGAAAAAAGCAGGGTTACTGCAGCCTCTACCCGTACCGGAGCAGCCATGGCAGGTCGTTAGCCTCGACTTCATCACAGGACTTCCCTCGACCTCACGGGGACACGATTCCATCCTCGTAGTAATCGATAAGTTCTCCAAAATGGGTCACTTCATTCCGACCAACGCCACAGCCACTGCTGAAGCAACTGCTCGCCTCTTCTTCGACCGCATCATCACCATCCACGGCATCCCCGCTACACTTATCTCAGACAGAGACCCAAAATTCACAAGTAAGTTCTGGAAGGAGCTTATGGGACTGTTGGGGACTAAGCTTGCGATGTCTTCAGCATACCATCCCCAGACTGACGAACAGACGGAGCGAGTCAACCAGGTGGTTGAACAGTTACTGCGTACAGCTTGCAAAGACGACATCAGCCACTGGGATACACAGTTACCAACCCTAGAGTTCGCTTACAACAACGCCTCGCATGCGGCCACAGGAAAAACCCCTTTCTTCCTGTGTTACGGACGGGATTCACTCACACCACAGCAGCCGACCACACCGGCACACGTCCAAGCTGCACACGACTTCGTCACCACCATGCAGCAGCTATGGGAGAAGACTTAGCGACGTCTCACCACGATGCAGAACTCCCAGAAGCAGTATGCCGATCGCCAGCGACGAGATCACTCAGTAGCAGTCGGAAATCAGGTGCTTCTTGACACGCGCAACTTGAACCTGTCTCACCTACCATCCAAACTCCGGCCTCGCTTCTGTGGTCCTTTTCTCGTGGAGGCACAGGTGACACCAGTTACATTCCGCTTGCGCTTACCAGATACGTGGAAGCTTCACAATGCTTTCCATGTTCAGCTACTGAAACCCTACAAGGACCCCAACCAACAGTTCCAGGGACGGCAGCTACCGCCACCTCCACCTGTTCTTGTGCAGGATGAACCAGAGTACGAGATCGAGCGCGTTCTCACTCATCGGCGCCGCGGCGGCAAGACCCTCGAGTTCCTGATACGCTGGAAAGGATACGACCCCACTAAGGACAGTTGGGTTGCAGAAGTTGATATGGGCAACGCACGCCGTGCTCTCAAGGACTATCTTGTCAAGCAGGGTGTATCTCACGCCACCCAGCTTTAAGGGGGGGACGTGTGAGAGTACGACGGCTTATGCCAGCTATGCATGCTTTCTTTTATCTTATTACGCTATTGCTAGCTTAGGTTTATTTTATGCATGCATGAATTGCTTGATTTCCTAGGCTAGGTGCTTTCCTATATTTTATTATAGTTAAATGCGCACGAGCGGCGCGTCAGATCTGCGTCAGAATTCGAGTCTGACACAAGTGAAGTGTCAGAATTCGAGTCTGACACAAAAAGTGTGTCAGAATTCGAATTTGTCCCAGTAAAAACTGATGCACAATAGCAATTATAACTACTGTATACAGAAAAAGGGGGTCTTATGATTATTAGAGGCAAAGGGGGGGTCCTCACAATTGTCAAACTGAGGAATTGATGATGCATTCATGTTGGTTGGGGTACAAGTAGCTAACCCTAACTTTTGTACTACCTATGACAAACCTCACTATAGGCTACCACATTTGACACACCCCCATAGCCTAGGTGAGGGGTGTCTAGCAGAATCAAAAGAGTACGGTCACAAGACCAGTCCAAGAAACAAAGCTCAGGGTGGATCACAACGTCACCACACTCTCTGAGCACAAGCACCAGTGGCCACAAGGCCAGTCCAAGATATAACAAAGATATATAGAAAGCGTACAAGCAAAGTAAACAGTGCACTCAAGTCTAAGCAAGACGAGAACCAGTGTCAACAAGGCCTAACTGCACACAGCACCTCTGGTGGTCACAAGGCGCAAGCGCCTTGGTGAAGATGTCTGCAGTGTTGGCCTTGGACTCCACAAACTCGAAGCGAGCCTGTCCACGTCTCTGCAGCTCTCGCAGAAGAAAGTACCTGACGTGAATGTGCTTCACTCTGCTCTCCAGTCGCGGCTCTCGACAAAGGAGAATCGACGCCTTGTTGTCAGTGAACAAGGTCGGTGCAGAGCTCGGCCGCTCACCAAGGTCGGCGAGCAAGAAGGTCAACCAACGCAGCTCCTGTGCCGCCATGGCTCCAGCGTAGATCTCAGCCTCAGCGGTAGAGGTCGAGACCGAAGAGGAGCGCGTGGACCGCCAGGAAACAGCTCCAGAACCCAGGCTGAAACAGTACCCCTGAGTAGACCTGTGAGTCTCAGCGTCGTCAGCGTAAGAAGAGTCACAGTGACCAGTAAGTACGACAGACTGCTGTCCTCCAAGAACTAGCCCCACGCCTGATGTCGTCGCTAGGTACTTCGCCACCCTCACAGCTGCTGTCCAGTGAACAGGGCGGTGTCTCCCTGGCGCAACAAAGCGCGCCAGGACACTGAGAGGGAAGGCGAGGTCCGGGCGAGTACAAGTCATCAGGTACATGAGGCAACCCACAAGCTCTGCGTAGGGACCACTAGGCTCAAACGGCTCGTCAGGAAAGGGTCCAGTGAGTCTGTGGTCAACAGCAAGAGGTGTGCGCTGTACTGTGGAGTGCTGAAGCCCGAACCGCTGAAGGACCTGCTGCACCATGTGTGACTGTGAAAGTGTAATGGTGCGAGCAGCTCTGTCCCTGGTGATCTGCAGGCCAAGGTAGTGGCGCAGCTCACCAAGGTCAGTGCAGGTGTGTCTCTTCTGCAGTTCGGACTTCACGTGTGCCAAAGCAACCCTGTCAGCAGTGGCGAAAACGAGGTCGTCAACGTAGACCAGAACAAAGAAAGGTGTGGAGCCACGACGAACAAACAGCGACGGGTCAGCAGAAGAAGGCTGGAACCCAAGGTCAGAGAGGGTAGAACGCAGAGTGTCGTGCCACTCACGAGGGGCCTGGCAAAGACCGTAGACAGGTCGCCTCAGCCTCCACTGGGTCCTAGGAGGGAAAGTGCCAGTGAAGGCAGAGGGACGACGCAGCCAGACCTCCTCGTGTAGGCTGCCCTGAAGGAAAGCAGTGGAGAAGTCGAGAGAGTGTAACTCGTAGTCTCTCTGTGCTGCTACGTGCAGTAACACCCGAAGAGTAGTCATCTTTGGGGTGGGCGCGAAGGTCTGAAAGAAGTCAACTCCCTCGCGCTGACTGAAACCTCTAGCCACGTAGCGCGCCTTGAAGACCGGGGGAGATCCCGGTGGCCGCTTCACCCTGTAGATCCACATGCCGTCGACTACGTTCGCCCCAGGGGGGGGGAACCTCATCGACGTAGGTGCCTGTGGATCTGTAGGAGGCCATCTCTGCGTCCATGGCAGCTCTCCACTGAGAGGCCCAAGGCCCTGACACTGCCTCAGCGTAAGTGCGAGGAGTCGGAATGTCAAGGGCGTCGGGGTCACCCTCAGGGGCGAGGAGCATGGCACAGAGATGAGGGGAAGCGGCTGCCAGGAACTCTAGCTCAAACTGCCTGTCCTCTAGGGCGTCACAGCCAAGGGCAGACACACCCCCGACGGCCAGAGGACTGGAAGGAGGAGCAGCCACAAGACCGGTGGCGAAGTCAAGGCGGCGGGTAGAGGCAAAGTCAGTGACTGCGGCAGTAAGAGCGGACACAGAGGACAGAGAGGCACGAGGGTGAGTAACAAGAGAGGCGAGAACACGAGAGAGAACAGGACGGTACGTGCTGTGGTAGTCAGTGACAGGAGTAGGAAGCGACGCAGTGAGGGCAGACTCAGGAGGAGACGGAAGCACAGACGGAGACGGTCGAGGTGGACGAGAACAAAGTAAGGCAGTACGAAGGTCAGTGAAGGGAACAGGAGACGAGGGACGAGCACGAGGGGAGCGACGAGAGGCCCAAGTCTGAGAAGGAGGAGGGGACAACGAAGACTGAGAACGAGGGAAAACAGCGGGAGAGGGGTCAGGAGGAGGAAGCGGAGGACCAGAGACGGGAGGAGAGGGAGAGGGGAGACCGAGGGTCCGAAGACCCGAGACAGGAGGAGGAGACGGCTGCTGCTGCTGCTGCTGGGGCTGCTGCGGCTGCTGCGGCTGCTGCTGCTCCAGCGGCTGCTGCTCCTGCTGCTGTCGCTCCTGCTCCTCGAGCCGCTGCAACTCTCGCTCCTCTCTCTCCAACTCCAGCTGCTCCTCACGAGCACGGCGAACACGAGCCTGGAACCTGGTCGGGTAGGGGTGGGGGGAAGGAGTAGTGTCCGGGGCAGCGGCAGCCCCAGAGTCCACCTCCGAAGCACCAGGCACACCACCCCCAGAGGCAGCACCAACACCAGCTCCAGACCCAGGCTCACCAGAAACCGAAGGGACACCCTCACCCCCAGACGCAGCACCCCCAGACTCCGCACGACCAGCACCAGCTCCCGGAAGACAAGAGTCCTCTGCAACCCGCGGCTCAGCTCCAACTCCAGCACCCCCAGAACCAGAAACCGGTACAGGGACAGTCTCAGTACCAACCTCTCTAGAGCGAGCACCTGCAGGACGCGGCGAGGAAGACTGTGGGGAGGGAGGCTGTACCGGAGGGGCTACCGAAGGGGGAGGGGTAGCCTGGGACACACCGGACGGGGCTGGACCAGGGGGGGGAGGCTGTACCGGGGGAGCAGGCGGGGGAGCGGCGGTCAGGAAGAGAGGGGGGGGAGGGACCGGGAGACCTCGACTGGGGTACCTGACGTAGTAGGGGGTGGACTCCTCGAAACGGACGTCACGGGAGTCAAAGAACCGGTGAGAGGGAGGGTGGTAAAAGGTGAAGTCAGAGGAGTCCTCAGGGAAACCAAGGAAGACACAAGGAACGGCGCGAGGCGAGAGCTTGTCCGCGGAGGTGTCGCGGACAAGAGCCAAGCACCCCCAGACACGAAACCTCGACGCAACACCAGGGGACCCGGTCCAAAGACTGGTCGGTGAAGCCTCTGGCCGAGAGACGCGTGGCCAGAGGTTCAGCTGGTGCGCGGCGTACCTGACCGCGTAGGGCCACAGAAAATGGGGGGCACGGGCGTGAGTCAGGGAGGTGCGGGCGATCTCCATGACCAAGCCTATGCGGCGCTCAGCAACCCCATTCTGCTATGGGGACTCTGGAAGCGTCCAGGACTGACGAATGCCCTGCTCGCGACAGAATCCAGCGAGAATGCCGGAGCGAAACTCACCCCCGCGGTCGGAGTGGAGACAGCTGACACGACGACCACGAGTGTCCTGCGTGGTAAGCAACCACCTGATCAGCGTAGAAGTCACCTCAGACTTCTTCGCCAGGGGGAACACTGTGGTGTAGCGGGAGTAGTCGTCAACGACCACCAAAAAGAAACGCTCACGCTCAGGGCCAGGGCGAGGAGAGGGGCCCCAGACGTCCAAGTGAAGCGTCTCAAAAGGCTCGGTGGCCGGACGAAGGGAGGAGGAGTGAGGGGTGGCGCGCAGCCTACCCTCGACGCAAGGACCGCACGGTGGTGCAAGGGACGGCGGCAGCGACGGCAAGACACGCGGGAGACCTAAGACAAGACGCTGACGAGACATAGCGCGCAGATGAGGAGGAGAAGGGTGCCCCATCCGGTGGTGCCACAAAACGGTGGGGTGGGCAAGCGACCGGCAGGAGCACGACGCAGCGACTGGACCAGACGTAGGAACCTGACAAGACACAGCTACCTGGGGGGACGGAGCAACCTGGTGAGACGCGGGGACTCGAACGGGGGGCGAAACAGGGACCGGTGGCAGTAGGGGCGGCTGCCGCTGCGGCTGCTGCTGCGGCTGCTGCTGCTGCTGGGGCTGCTGCTGCTGCTGCTGCTGCTGCTGCTGCTGCGGCTGCTGCTGCGCACTCGGGCCAGTGTGAAGAGTGTAGAGACCTGAGCCCGGCTCAGCAGCAAAGGTGGCCAGAGGCTGGTAAGAGTCCCCGTCAACACACACCGCAGTCTCTCCAGAAGGCTCAAACCACACACCCACGTGCTGACTCACGAGGGGTCGCACGCCCACCAAGTTCCGGGAGAACGAGGGGACGTGAAACCCAGTGAGAGACCCAGAAGGAGCAGCAGGACACGGCAAAGTGGTAGTGTGACGCGCGGTGACTGGTCCCGAAGTGGGATCAGCCAGCGCCACAGAAACAGGCGCAGGAAGTGGTGTAAGTGTCGTGCTGTCACGAAAGAAGCAGTGTGAGGCTCCAGAGTCCAGCGTGAACGACAGCAAACCGTCCTCCGAGGTAGCCGCTGGACTAGAGTCTACACAAGAACCTACACTAGCAACAGGCAACGGAGCAAGGCTAGCACCTAAGCTAACAACACCAGAGTAAACAGAGTCAGAAACACTAGAGTCAACAACAGCATACATAGCATGAGGAGCACCAATCAGATCAACTAACTGCTCAGCAGACATGCCCCACAGAGCGGAGCCGTAACGCTGAACAAGAGGAAGCCAGTCAGGGGCAGGAGCACCAACCCCGTAGACCAAACGAACCGTGTCAGTGAGCTGAGCAAAACACTGACCAGGGGGGTGAAAGCGGCCACAAGGGTGGCCCCGGCGAGCACCTGTCAGAACCTGATAGGTGCAGGGAGGGTAAGCAGCACCGCTCTGGGTCTGACGCAGCCCCGACCCCGGAGCCAGCTGCGGCCGCTGCTGCTGCTGAGGCTGCTGGGAGGAGAGGGGCTGCCGCTGCTGCTGAAGCTGCTGCTGACGCTGAGCCTGGTACCACGCCGCTGCTCCACCTCCCGTGGCCGGAAGTACAGGAGACGACTGACGAACTCGGGCGTCGCCACCACCAGCAGGCGCAGTGGAGTCACCAGTCGCTGCACGAGACGCCTCTCCAGGCCCTGCACGCCCACCGCCGCCAGGCGCAACGTCACCTCCACTACCTCCGCCTCCACCACCACTACCACCACTAGAACCGCCTTTCTTGCCACCCCTACCGCGGGACCGCGACGCAGTCGTAACAGCAGCTGCAGTCGCGTCAGTAGCGGCAGTGGCAAGAGAGGCAGTAAAGGTGGGTAACTGCGGGACTGTGCACCCGTGGAAGAGTGGGGGGAGCATAGCACCAGAGGCAGCGGCTACCGAGCGAAGGTTGCTCTCGACGTCCTTGAGCGCAGACTCAAGGACCTCGACGGTGAGCTCACTAGGGTGCTTCAGCAGAAGCGCGTCGCGAACGGAGGCAAGGCGGTCAGGGAGGCTAGTGGCGATGAAATAGATAGTAATCGCCATAGGGGGAGGAAGCAGTGCAAGCTGTGCCTCAGTGCAAGCAGCGCGGTAACTAGCGTCGAGCGAGCGGAGGTGAGCGATCAAGTCAGCAGAGCGCTCAAAAGACGCAAGGTCAGGGAACAGGAACGGGAGGAAAAGGCGGCCAAGAGAGACAGTAGCGGGAGTAGAGTAGCGGGCCTTAATCGCAGTGAGGTACTCAGCAGCGGTGCAAACCTCAGTGAAGTGAACCTCCTCAGACTCAGGGAGGAGGCTGCTGAGCGCGATGCAGGCCGCAGCGTCACGCGACGTCCAAGCCGTCTGGTCAGCTCGCTGGGTGGTAAAGTGAGCTCTAGCGGCGTCGTCAGGGGCAGGTCCTAAAGGCGTAGGGTCGGGGGGCGCAGGGAGGGCACCAGCAGCGTGCGCCCAGAGGGTCTCGCCTGCCTGGACCTGACTCTCTAACAGACGGCGAGCGCGAAGAAGCCAGACGGAAAAGTCAAGAGGTCTACCGTCAGCGTCGAAACGAAGAACACGCTGGGTCGCCATAGCGAAAACGAACGGACGAAGCGGCGGGCAACGGGAGCGGACGCAGCGGTGGAAAACGGAAGTGGGGCACGGGCCAGGGCGACGGGCTAGGGCGCTGGCTAGGGCGACGCGCTAGGGCGCGGTCTGGGGCGCGGGCTAGGGCGACGGTCTAGGGCGCGAGCTGGGGCGTGGGCCTGGGCAACGGGCAAGGGCGCGGGCCTGGGCGACGAGCTAGGGCGCTGGCTAGGGCGACGGGCAGGGGCGCGGGCCTGGGCGACGGGCTAGGGCGCGGGCCTGGGCGACGGGCTAGGGCGCGAGCCAGGGCGACGGGCTAGGGCGCGAGCCAGGGCGACGGGCTAGGGCGCGAGCCAGGGCGACGGGCTAGGGCGCGGGCTAGGGCGACGGGCAGGGGCGCGGGCCCGGGCGACGGGCTAGGACGCGGGCCTGGGCGACGGGCTAGGGCGGGGGCCAGGGCAACGGGCTAGGGCGCGGGCCTGGGCGACGGGCAGCGGGGGGGAGGCGCGGTTCGACGGGCAGCGGGGGGAAGCACGGGTCGACGGGCAGCGGGGGGAAGCGCGGGTCGACGGGCAGCGGGGGGAAGCGCGGTGCTACGGGCAGCGGGGGGGGGGGGGGGGGGAAGCGCGGTTCGACGGGCAGCGGGGGGAAGCGCGGGTCGACGGGCAGCGGGGGGAAGCGCAGCGCGACGGGCAGCGGTACGCTAGATCGGGCTACACTGGATCGGGCTACGCTAGATCGGGAGGAAGAACGAGCGGTAACGAACGAACGGGACTAGATCGGGCCGGCACTAGGCTCGGGCAAGACGGGCGAAACGAGTGAGACAGGCTCGGAAGAAACGAACGAGGACGGGAGGAGCGGGATCCCACAGGATCCGAACCTAGGTGATACCATGTCAAACTGAGGAATTGATGATGCATTCATGTTGGTTGGGGTACAAGTAGCTAACCCTAACTTTTGTACTCCCTAAGACAAACCTCACTATAGGCTACCACATTTGACAACAATATCTGCCACAATAAGAGTCCCCCTACCCGTTCAAGAGTCCCGGGAGACTTTCTTACTGGCGGGTCTTCTAGCCGGAACTATACGGTACGCTCTTAGATTTGCTACACATCACATGCATGCTTAGCACAGCCAAAACACAGTCTTGCTTTTCAGGTTGATTCAAACGCACTACACAAACATCCACCATACAAAACCTTTATAGGACCTTCTACCTTGAGTGAAGGACATGAGCTGGTATATGATTGCTTTCAACTGGATTGGTGATGTTTCCAGTTGCTGCTTAGTAAGGCTTCTGCCTCCTGCCTTTCCGCCGTGGGGGTGGGCCCCTGTCACTACATTGGGACGCTGTTCTGAGGGCATCTGAGAGCTGGGTGGGGCTCAAGGCGCCAGTGCTCACAGCACGGGCCAGGAGGGTCACCATCTCTTCCTCGCTAAGCTCCACACGCACTCCGCCACCGCTGCTGCCCCCTGCCAAGCCTGCTGCCCACCCCTCCTCGCGCTCTTCCCTGCCCCGGGCGCTGCCCCTGCCCCCTCTGCCCCTCTGGCGCTGGCTCCTGGGCGAGGCGGAGGACGCAGGCGGCGAGGGCGGGTGAGGGGAGAGCTTGAAGTGGAAGGAGGGCTTGTGCGTGTTGGGCGGGCACTGCATGCCCTGGCAGCAGCAACAGCGCACGGGGCACAGAGGAGAACCACTTATATGTTTGATACGCACATCACTCCCAAACCATTGGCTGCTGCACAGCTGAGGGGGCTGGGGACGTTCTAGATGAGCTAAGTGTGTTCCAAACTGCAAGTCACCATTCCATGATCACACCCCAGCTTTGCAGGTCCAGCGTTAGGCAGCGAAAATCAGGTGGCTGAGCGAGCAGAGGAAAATTGAGCAGAAAACAAGAGCTCACCTGGCAGCAGAGCAACCCACCTGGCAGCAGAGCAACCCACCTGGCAGCACCGTACCCACCTGGCAGCGCGCCCAGTCAGTGATGCGGTAGACCTGTCCGTCCGTGCACGTGTAAAAGTGCTGTGGGCCCTTCTGCTCGCACGGCAGGGGGTGTATGTGGCAGGGGTAGCACAGGGGAGGGAGGAAGTCAGGTGATGACATTGTGACAGGTGGCCGTGGGATGGTGGCAGGTGGCCGTGGGATGGTGGCAGGTGGCGGTGGCAATGGGGAAGCACGAGGGGAGGTGAGTGAAGAAGCATGGTGTGAGAGTGGCAGTGCTGTGAGAGTGGCAGTGCTGTGAGAGTGGCAGTGCTGTGAGAGTGGCAGTGCTGTGAGAGTGGCAGTGCTGTGAGAGTGGCAGTGCTGTGAGAGTGGCAGTGCTGTGAGAGTGGCAGTGCTGTGAGAGTGGCAGTGCTGTGAGAGTGGCAGTGCTGTGAGAGTGGCAGTGCTGTGAGAGTGGCAGTGCTGTGAGAGTGGCAGTGCTGTGAGAGTGGCAGTGCTGTGAGAGTGGCAGTGCTGTGAGAGTGGCAGTGCTGTGAGAGTGGCAGTGCTGTGAGAGTGGCAGTGCTGTGAGAGTGGCAGTGCTGTGAGAGTGGCAGTGCTGTGAGAGTGGCAGTGCTGTGAGAGTGGCAGTGCTGTGAGAGTGGCAGTGCTGTGAGAGTGGCAGTGCTGTGTCGGTTGGTGAGTGCAGAGTGTGTGGCAGCATGTGCACTGACAAGAGAGAGCATGCCAAACAAGGCAGGCTGGGGAAGTTGTTCCACCCAGCCATCCCCCTCCTTGCATGGGTGGTGCCTCTCACACTCCTGCCACATGAACCCATGCACGCGGGCACACAGGCATACACACACACAGGCATACTCGCACACAGGCATACACACACACAGGCACACACGCACACAGGCACACACGCACACAGGCACACACGCACACAGGCATACACGCACACAGGCATACACGCACACAGGCATACACGCACACAGACGCCTACACTTGCACAAAAGCATGGTACATAGTCTTTCTCCCATGAAGAAAATAAGTGAAGAACTCGAATTCCACTCCACCTATAACCAATAGCTTCCAGTACACATGCCCCCACCTGCCACTGCATCCCACTCCACCCCAGTGTACCCCACTGGACCCCACTGCACCCCACCTGGCACCAGCGGGCTTGGCTGCAGGGGCGGTTGACGGGGCGCCACACATGCGCCATCCCACACTCTGTGCATGCCACTGGCCGCCCCCCCTCCTCCTCCTCGCCGCCTGCTGGCCCCCCTGCCTGCCCCACCCCCCCTCCCCCTTTCCCTGCTGCCCCTTCCATGCCCCCTGCTGCCGCCCTGCCAGTTGTTGTGCTGCTCGTCTGGACACCACATGGGGTTGTGGCAGGTGAAGGGGGGAGGGAGGGGGAAGGGGGAAATCGGGGGCGAGGGGAAGGAATTTGGGAGAGGAGAAGCCGCAGTATTGAGTAAACGCAGGGGCGAAGTAAATCCATCCGCCAACTCCGCTGCCTGCCACCACACCTTCCTCGCCTGCTTCCCTTGCCTCCTGCCACCACCATACATAGAGCACCCTATGAGCCCCCCCCCTCGTTCCTATCATTTCTGATCTGCCTACCACTCCATGGCCACCCGCACCCCCAGCGCTAAGCTAACTTGGCATCAGCCCAAACTACACTGGACTGCCATATCGCACTGACCTGCCACGTCAGCACGGACCTGCCACGTCAGCACGCACCTGCCACATGTGTGCAGCCCGGCGTGTGATGAGCTCAACGAGCTGCTCGCGCCTCAGCTCGCCCTCGTATTCTCGCCGCCTCCCCTCGTCTGATAACACCTGCCCGGCACCCCACACACACACATGCACACATGCACGCGCGCGCGCGCACACACACACACACACACACACACACACACACACACACACAACCGCGTTGACAGGCAAGCGAAAGGAAAAGGGAAGAGATGGCAACGAGCACATGCAGTGGCATGGAGTGGTGGTCAGTGAGTCATGTATGAAGAAAGCACATGGTGTACCTCGTATGCGCTCTGCAGGCGTTGAAAAGCCACTATGGCATTCTTCTCGTCCCCCCCATGCTTGTCCGGATGCACTAGCATTGCCTGCACGTCACATGCACATGCACATGTTCAGGCACAGGCACATGCACAGGCACAGGCACATGCACAGGCACATGCACAGGCACATGCACAGGCACATGCACATGCACATGCACATGCACAGGCACACAACTCATCACTGTAAGTCAGCAACTGCAAACCGCATACTACAAGCTCACGCGTAATTCCCATAAAGCTCTTCACACCACTCCCTCCCAGCCACTTCCCAGCCTCCTATCCTCCCCAGCCTCGTCTCCTTCCCCCCAGCCCCTCCATATCCCAAGTCACCCTCCCCCCCATGCGCCCTCTCCCATTCCCCATCCGCCCCTACCCCTCCCCCCGGCCCCCACCATGCGGCGGTACTCCTTCTTCAGGGCGCTCTCGTCCACAGCCGCACAGAAGGGCGCCAGGCGAAGCACCTCGTAGTGGTTGCTGCACCACACTATGCGCTCTATCTCCCCGCCCCCACTCGCCTCTCCCCCGGCCCCCCCTCCCCCTGCCAACCCCGCTTCCCCCTCCCCTACCGCTCCCTCCACCCCTACCCCAGGCTCCCCCCCCCCAGCAGTGCTTGCTTGGGACTGGTTTGCGGGGGACGAGTCGGGTTGGGCGGGGTCATCTTGGAGGGAGGAGGCGAGGAGGAGCAGCAGGTCGCAGGCCAGGAAGGAGGCGAGCAGCGTGAGGCACAGCGTGGTGAGCCCTGCGCGCACCACCACGTGGTACACCGTTGACGCCACCAGCAGCAGCAGCGCTGCACGGGGGGACCCGCTCGCTGCCACTATCCCTGGTGGATGCGCAGGGGTGGAGAGCGGGGGGTAGAGAGCAAGGGGGGGAGAGCAGGGGGGAAAGAGCGCGGGTGGGAGGGTGGGTGGGCCGGGGGGAGAAAGGTGGCGCTGGGGGAGTTGGTGGGCAGGAGAACGGGAACGAGGGGAGGCAGGCAAGACGTGCGTGTGTGGGTGGGGTGGGGGGCCGGGCAAGGCAAGAGTGTGTGTGAGTGGGGGAGAGAGGACCAGCCAATCAGTTGGTGCTTAAGAATACTCAACAACCACCTCAGACGGCAGCGCTCAAGGTGTCTCGCTGACCTGCTGTGAGGGCGGGGTGCAACCTACCGGCTGTGAGGGCGGTGGCGAGGGCGAAGAGCAGCAGCTTGGCGCGCAGTGCTGTGAAGAGCGCCAGCAGCACCAGCAGCGCGAGTGTGAGCAGCAGCGGCAGGAAGAATGACAGCAGCACCAGCACCACCTGCTCGCCGCAGCCGATGGGAGGGGGAGGAGGGTGCAGAAATGGGGTGGCGGAGGAGGGGGAAGAAGTGGGGTGGCGGAAGAGGGGGAAGAAGTGGGGTGGCGGAAGAGGGGGAAGAAGTGGGTGGAAAGCAGGTGGGGTAGGAGGCGTGAGGGGAGGAGCCACGTGGGGGATGGTGGCAAGCACAAGTGGGGATGGTGGCAAGCACAAGTGGGGATGGTGGCAAGCACAAGTGGGGATGGTGGCAAGCACAAGTGGGGATGGTGGCAAGGCAAGCACAAGTGGGGATGGTGGCAAGGCAAGCACAAGTGGGGATGGTGGCAAGGCAAGCACAAGTGGGGATGGTGGCAAGGCAAGCACAAGTGGGGATGCGTGAGGCAAGGGTGGATGGAGGAGGGAGTGGGCGTGCGAGGGGTTGAGCGAGGGGGTGGGCGACGAGGCGGGCGAGGGGGGGGCGTACGAGGGAGGGCAGCAGCACGAGCCAGCCGAGGGTGCGCCCCATGCCCACCAGCGCGCCCACCAGCGGCAGCACCGCCGACCCCAGCGACGGCGGCACCAGCGAGACGCACCCGCGGATCACGAACGCCGCCGCCGCCACCACCGCCCACAAGCCCGCCGCCGCCGCCAACCGCGCTGCCGCCCCCGCCACGCGCCACGCGACCGCGCAGTATCGGGCCGCCCGCTCCGCGAACGCGCTCCCCGCGCTCTCACGTCGCGCCCATGGGGGAAAGCCGTTTGCGGGGCCCCTACTGTGCCATTGTGGTGACGGCGATCGTGGCGACGCTGACGACGCGCCGTGCGACGTGCTATGCGACGAGGCTGCTCGCGACGAGGCGGCGTGCGGTCGCTTCCCCGAGGCCCGCGCGGGTCCTCTCCGCGCCTCGCCCCTCGCCATGGCGCCGCGCACCCAGCAGCGGGACTCTCGGCGGCGTTTACGGCGACAATTGCGCAGTCTAAGGCCCAGCTACGAAGGCATCTTGCGCCGCCGCAAGGAGAGACGGGAGAGCACAAGATGTTCAGTCATAATTCTCGGAGAGCAGCACTCGTGCAGTTAGGCTGAAACGAGAAAAAAAATATCGGTACGCGAGAAGAGACTCGGAGAGCCGTGCGACTCGAGTGTGGCTTGGTGGAGTGGTGGGAAAAGCGCACGAAAACTATACCGAGGACGGTTGGATGGCCGCTTGATGGTGGAGAAACATGCAGCACATGTGGTACCTTTGAGAACCCTCAGTTCCCGACAACGAACGGATTAACGCGCGCTGTACATCCAAGCTATTGTTGTATTTACATAATTATAGCTCTACATCAAACAGCTTGATGGAACACATTTCTAAGCGCAATTTGATGTACAAGAGGATTACAAGAAAGCATGCATGGATTTGTGCAAACTAAAATCGCGCATCATCATGTGCACTAGCACATCTATGGCTGCACTCGCTAGCCCCACCTGGTGCAGCAAGTCTGAAGCACACAGCCAACATGGCATCCAGCACATGCCGGCACGCCATGCCCTCAGCTGCACCCTCAGCACCACTGCTCACCGAGCAGCACCGCTCATCACTGCAACAACGCACATCCCCCACCGGATCTACCACCTGTGGCCCCTCACCACCTTCTCCTCTTACGTTCCCCCACCGCTCCTCCACGTCCTCCTCGTCGGCTCGCCCCTCCACCATTCCGTGCCGCCATTGCAGCTCCTCCAGCAGCAGCCGGGCCACCCCACATGCCGACGCCAATACTCGATGCACGTGCCGCCGCACGCGTGCCCCACACTGCCCCTGCCCTGCCACGTGGCAGTCTTGCATTGGCTGTGGGACTGCACCAACAAGGCATGTGTCTGGGTGCAGACTGTGCTGCAAGGGCTGTGAGTTGGTTTTATCTATTCCGTGTGGGCACAGGGTCTTCTCTTTCTCTGACCCACAGACTTCCATCCCCTGCTGCCCTCTGCTTTCCTCCTCCGTAACCTCCGAAATCTCAATTCTCTCTCCTGCACAGCCTCCTTCCTTTTCCCATTCTTGTCCCTGCCTCTCCCCTTGTCTCGCGGCTGCCTTACACTGTTCATCGGCCTCACACCCCCTGTGCGTGCACAAGCTCTCATCGCCCCCTGTCACCTGCACTGCAGTAAACACCTTCCCCAGCTGAAATGCCCCCAAACCCACCCCCCTCATGCTCCCGTCCCCTCCTCCACCGCCCCTCATGCCACCGCCACCATGTTTTGCTGCCGCCTGTCCTGCACCTACCAGGCCGCTTTCACCCGAACCAGGACCTGAGGCTCGGTCAAGCGGGAGTGGCTGGGCAGTAAGGGGTGTGGGAGGATTGGATGGTTGGGAGGGCTGGAGAAGGGAGGGAGTGTGGGTGGCAGGGAGGAGAGAGGAGTGGGAGAGGCCGGAGGGGAGAGTGGCGAATGAAAAGCGCGAGGAGAGATGTGGAGGGGCGAGGGAATGGTGGTGGTGGGGGTGAGTGAGGGAGGGAGGGCAAGAGGGAGTGAGTGGTGGGGAGGGTGGTGATGGTGACGGTGTGTGTGTCTGCTGGGTGGCGCCTTGAGAGGTGTGTGAGAGAGGGAGGGAGGAGGTGGTAACAGTAGGGGTGGTGGTGGGAAGGGTGGGAGGCGGCAGCAGTGGAGGCGAAGCAGCAGTGGGTGCAGGCACAGACGAGGTGACAGGGAGGGCAGTGGGTGACACTCGGAAGCGAGGGCGGCGGTCAAAGTGGCAGGTGAGGGCGCTGTGCTGACTCGTGGCAGCAGCACCACCACCACCGCCAGTAGCAGCAGCACCGTGGGCAGCACGAGCGCCCACATGATCCGCACAGCAGGCCTCATACCGCCTTTTCCTGCTGCTGCTCCCACCCGCACTGTGTGGAACTAAGTCATCCGCATCATGAGCCTCCACAGGCACGCCCCCAGCGTGCGTGCTGTCACTGCCACCACTCGCCCTCGTCGCATGGGTCGCATGGCTGATGTTGGCGGCAGTCTGGCTGGCAAAAGGCACGACGTCACACTGTGCCAGGGGCGGAGGGAGAGCACATGCTGTTGAGGCGTGTAGCTCCGGAGCACACAATCCACCCTCCTCTTCCATCCCTCTATAATCTTCTATGCCATCCACCCCCTCCTCTACTTCCTGCTTCACTCCTCTCCCCCCCTCTATCGCCTCACTCGCCCTCCACCCCCCTACCCTCGCCTCCCCCTGCACTGTCTCCCATTCCCCTGCTCCCTGCACCGTCTGCTGCTCTCCATCCCCCCACTCCTCGCTCTCCTCGGCCATTCCTTCTTCCCTCTCGTCTCCCTCGCTTACACCCACCTCCCTCTCCATAATTCCCGCGTCCTCATAAAAAATTTGACCATCCTTCGCCCTTGCTCCCTCTCCTGCCTCCCCCACGCCCTCCCCTTCTTTCCCCTCCCCTTCCCCACTCGCCATTCCTTCCTCGTCTCCCCCTTCCCCCTCCCCCTCTCCCCCTTCCCCCCCTCGCCCGCGCGCCTCTCTCTCGCGCCACTCCCTCTCCACCGCCTGCAGCAGCGCCGCATCACCCAGGGGCGAACCTTCCAGGATCTTGCGGATGCGCCCCACGCCCTCCTCCTCCCTGACTCTTTCCACCTCCTCCACCAGCGCCGCCACGCCCCTCGCCTGCACGCCCGCCACAAACCGCACTGCCCGCTCGTACGCGCCCTCCTCTCCCCCCTGCTGGTTGCCAGAGGGGAGGGCGGGCGCGTGGGAGGGCTGGGGCTGCGCTGGTGCAGGGTGGGAGGGCGAGGCGGAGTGGGACTGTGCGGAGTGGGCCTGGGCGGAGTGTGGGGGGCCTTGAGGGGGCGTGGAGAGGCCGCGCAGGAGAGGGTACTTGCGGCGCATGGCGGAGTTCCAATAGTTCTTTATGGCGTTGTCCGTGCTGTGGAGGGGGGACGGTGGGGGGAAGAGGGACAGGAGAGGAGGGGTGAGAGTGTGAGGAAGGGGGGATATATAAGAGGCTGTTGTGTGGTAGAAGGGAGGGGTTGCATGTGGAGTGATGGAGGAAGGAGAGAGAATTGCAGTGGACAACGGGTGGCAAAGTGAACGGTGCTGAAGGCAGTAGGTGCGCACCGTCCGGGAAGGTTCTTGGCGATGAGGGCCCACTTGTTGCCGTGGATGGCGTGCGCTGTGATGATGCGCGCATCCTCCTCCACCGTGAACTGGCCTCGCCTCAACGCCGGGTCCAGCTGGTTGCACCACCTGGTGTGATGTGAGGGAGAGGGGAGGGAGGGAAGGATGAAGGGAGGGAGGGAGTGATGGAGTGAGGGAGGAAAGGAGGGATGGATAGATGGAGGGGGATGTGTGTGCCCAGCATGGGCTCGGAAAAGAGAAGATGTGCAGAGCCAGGAAAGGTAAAGAGCAACTGAACTACAATCAAGGTGAAGCAGATCAACACAGAATCACTCCCTTGTTTCCACTCATCCCAGCACATCTCGCCCCACCTCACCGCACTGCACCGTGTGACGCACCTGAGTCGGCAGCTCTTCCCCGGCCTGCCAGGGATACCAGCAGCGATGACGCTCCAGTTTTTCGCCCCGTGCACCGCCACCAGCGCCGCCAGCCGCTCATCCTCCTCCGCCGTCCACGCCCCCCTGTTCACCACCGATGCTCCCCTCCGCCCTCCGCCACTCCGCCTCCTCTGCTCCTTCTCCCCGTCCTCCTCCGCTTCCTCGCCCCCCCTGCTCCCCCTATCCTGCTCCCCTGTCAGCCCTCCGCTCGCCTCGCTGCTGCTGCCGCCTCTCCTCTCGTTCCCAGCCTTCCCCATACTCTCCGCCCCCTCGCCACAGCTGTCCGCCTCCCCCTCCTTGCCGGCTCCCCCGCGATCCCACGCATTCTCTCCCCCGGTACCCATTTCCGCCGCCCCTCCCCGCGCTTTTGTTCCCCTGGAAGCCGCGCCATGTGCCCCCGACGTGGCGGAGACAAGTGGGCGCGCGCTGCTGGCTGGGGAGGCTCCCCTGAGCGCCTCCTCGCGCGGCTGTTCCCCCTGCCGCTCCCCCGGATGCTCCTGCGCCCGGCTGGCGGTCGCTGCTCGTCCAATTCCCGCCGGCAGCACCAGCCGCAACGGCCCCCCAGGCTTGGCGGGCGTGGATCCGCCGACAAGGGGGGAGGGGGAGGGGCGCGCGGAGAGGGCTGCGAGCGGAACGAATCGAGGGGCAGTGTGCATGCCGCTGCGCTCCGCCGCTGGGTTGGCGGAAGAATCGTCTGGATGTGATGCGGCGGGTGGTTGCGCGGGCAGCGCAGTGGCGCGGGTGAGCGGAGCCATTTGCGGGCGATGCGCGGAGGTTAGAAATAGCAGCTCGCAAGCTCAAGTGTCTGGTACGCTCTAAAAGCGTGCGAGCGATGCTGCAGCTAATAGTAGTCCTCGGGTGGGTGTGCGTGACGGGTGGTTAATTGTTGCTCTCAGATGCTTGCTTGCGATCGACGGTCGCCTACGGAGCTGCGGCGCGGTTAGCCATCCCCCCGAAGTCAGCAGAGCGAGTGGTTGCGCGCAACTTGAGCGCGGAAAACCTCCTCGCCTTCCCTAACTGCAAGCTCCGTAAATGCTTCAAGCATCGTGGCTGCTGTGCCAAGCTACCGCTAACACGTGGGGGGTGGAGCCACATGAACAGAGCCGTTTCGCTTCACTTCTGAGACGAGGCGTTCGCGCAACCCTGACCGCTCGGTTCCGCTGTTGGGTCTGCGCTCGCTCCCCAAAAGCTTCTTACATCCGCTCGATGAAAGCTCGGCGGAGGTCGTTGGTAAACCGAGGAGACGAAACGTCTCGTTCTGCCTTCTTGCGAGCATCACAGGCACAACAGATGGCGGTTAAAAGACGAAACGGCACTTCCTCGTTACTAGGTTCGCGGACCGAAAATGCTGAAAGCAATCTGAGTGCACACTCAGTACTAAATCGGTGTAAATTTGACGGACGATTTCTCTTATGTGTCAAAAACTATTGCAGAACGGACTCAAGTAGTGTAGTTATTGAAGGTATATTCCCTTGGGCCTGGGGTGGCCCAGTCCCCAAGGCAGAAATGTTCCCGAGGCAAAGCAGTTTCAAGGGCAAACTTGTTCCCAAGGTAGCCCAGTTCCCGAGGCAATTTCGTTCCCTAGGTTGTTCCGACAAAGGTGTTTCCGAACCGAGCCCAAGGCAGCACGGCATCATTCCCGCGCAACACATCCCAAGGCCAGGCCGGAGCACCTGCACCCACCGACCACCCCCACCACCCGACGGACCACCCGCCATCCTCCATATCTCCTCGCTGCTCCTCGCCATTCTCAAAGCATCATTGCGAATTCGCTCGCCTTTCTCTCGCGAGCAGCGCCGCGTAGTTGCCGGCTACGTTCACCCTACGGACCCACGGGGGACGGAAGTCTGCACCGGTAGGAATGGCGGGAGGAGCGGAGACGGCGGGCGATGTATCGGTCCACGTCACCACGCCGCTGCTGCCGCGCGAGGTACGGCGCAGCGCGAAGGGGAATGCGCCGTGATGTGCAGATATTGTGCGCATTACAGTTCATCAATCTTGCTACTTGCCCTGCGCTGCTTTCCGCCTTCTTCCTAGTATCCCCTGCGCTCCCTTCTATCCACCTCTTTGCCATCCCCCTTGCCTCTCCTCAGGATTCTGCTCCCGCAAGACACGTGTCGCCCGGCGACGGAAGCCCTTCATCGCCGCATTCCCCGGGTGCGCGTCGCATCGCTACAGCTTCAAGGATCGCCGCATTCATCGGGTGCGTCGCTCTGCTCGGCGCGCTCTGCCTCCTCGCGCCGCGCCGAACCGCCTTGGAGACACGTGCTGACGATGCCGTCGAGATTAGCAGCAGCAGAAGCGCGGCTGTTCGCTTCTTCGCGTTCGGCGACTGGGGTCGCAACGGCACGTTCAACCAGTCGCTCATCGCACAGCAGGTGCGACGCACGCCCTTTCTCATCGTCCTTCACGCTGTGACCACACGCCATCCGCACACCCCTTCCTTGCTATGCAATGCACCCATCTTTCCTTCTACCCTGTGCGGTGGAGATGGGTGCAGTGGGGCAACAAATGGTCCCTCAGTTTGTGGTGTCGGTGGGGGACAACTTCTATGACGAGGGGCTGACAAACGTGAACGATGACAAGTTTGCGCGCTCCTTCACCAACACCTACACGCACCGCAGCCTGCAGGTCCCCTGGTACGCAGGTACGCCTCCCAATCTTTCTCACCCTCCCTCTCTTGATCATTCCCTCCCCCCCTCTCACTCTTTGTCGCACTCTCTCGTACACAAGGGACGCACTGCGCACTTCTTCTGGACCTGTGTGAGCAGCGGTGGCGTTCATGAGAGCTTTTGTTGCAATACGCCATCACTCCATGTGCGAGCAATCCTTTAATGCATTCACGTGTCAATGCACAAACACACTCACGTACCTCACTTCACCACAGCTCACACTGCTCCGTTCCCCCGCCCCCGCACCCCCTTTTTCCTGCCCCATTCCCTCCACCAGTGCTGGGCAACCACGACTACTACGGCAACGTTCTCGCTCAGCTCAGCTCAACTTGGCATCAGCCCAAACTACACTGGACTGCCATATCGCACTGACCTGCCACGTCAGCACGGACCTGCCACGTCAGCACGCACCTGCCACATGTGTGCAGCCCGGCGTGTGATGAGCTCAACGAGCTGCTGGCGCCTCAGCTCGCCCTCGTATTCTCGCCGCCTCCCCTCGTCTGATAACACCTGCCCGGCACCCCACACACACACATGCACACATGCACGCGCGCGCGCGCGCACACACACACACACACACACACACACACACACACACACACACACACAACCGCGTTGACAGGCAAGCGAAAGGAAAAGGGAAGAGATGGCAACGAGCACATGCAGTGGCATGGAGTGGTGGTCAGTGAGTCATGTATGAAGAAAGCACATGGTGTACCTCGTATGCGCTCTGCAGGCGTTGAAAAGCCACTATGGCATTCTTCTCGTCCCCCCCATGCTTGTCCGGATGCACTAGCATTGCCTGCACGTCACATGCACATGCACATGTTCAGGCACAGGCACATGCACAGGCACAGGCACATGCACAGGCACATGCACAGGCACATGCACAGGCACATGCACATGCACATGCACATGCACAGGCACAGGCACACAACTCATCACTGTAAGTCAGCAACTGCAAACCGCATACTACAAGCTCACGCGTAATTCCCATAAAGCTCTTCACACCACTCCCTCCCAGCCACTTCCCAGCCTCCTATCCTCCCCAGCCTCGTCTCCTTCCCCCCAGCCCCTCCATATCCCAAGTCACCCTCCCCCCCATGCGCCCTCTCCCATTCCCCATCCGCCCCTACCCCTCCCCCCGGCCCCCACCATGCGGCGGTACTCCTTCTTCAGGGCGCTCTCGTCCACAGCCGCACAGAAGGGCGCCAGGCGAAGCACCTCGTAGTGGTTGCTGCACCACACTATGCGCTCTATCTCCCCGCCCCCACTCGCCTCTCCCCCGGCCCCCCCTCCCCCTGCCAACCCCGCTTCCCCCTCCCCTACCGCTCCCTCCACCCCTACCCCAGGCTCCCCCCCCCAGCAGTGCTTGCTTGGGACTGGTTTGCGGGGGACGAGTCGGGTTGGGCGGGGTCATCTTGGAGGGAGGAGGCGAGGAGGAGCAGCAGGTCGCAGGCCAGGAAGGAGGCGAGCAGCGTGAGGCACAGCGTGGTGAGCCCTGCGCGCACCACCACGTGGTACACCGTTGACGCCACCAGCAGCAGCAGCGCTGCACGGGGGGACCCGCTCGCTGCCACTATCCCTGGTGGATGCGCAGGGGTGGAGAGCGGGGGGTAGAGAGCAAGGGGGGGAGAGCAGGGGGGAAAGAGCGCGGGTGGGAGGGTGGGTGGGCCGGGGGGAGAAAGGTGGCGCTGGGGGAGTTGGTGGGCAGGAGAACGGGAACGAGGGGAGGCAGGCAAGACGTGCGTGTGTGGGTGGGGTGGGGGGCCGGGCAAGGCAAGAGTGTGTGTGAGTGGGGGAGAGAGGACCAGCCAATCAGTTGGTGCTTAAGAATACTCAACAACCACCTCAGACGGCAGCGCTCAAGGTGTCTCGCTGACCTGCTGTGAGGGCGGGGTGCAACCTACCGGCTGTGAGGGCGGTGGCGAGGGCGAAGAGCAGCAGCTTGGCGCGCAGTGCTGTGAAGAGCGCCAGCAGCACCAGCAGCGCGAGTGTGAGCAGCAGCGGCAGGAAGAATGACAGCAGCACCAGCACCACCTGCTCGCCGCAGCCGATGGGAGGGGGAGGAGGGTGCAGAAATGGGGTGGCGGAGGAGGGGGAAGAAGTGGGGTGGCGGAAGAGGGGGAAGAAGTGGGGTGGCGGAAGAGGGGGAAGAAGTGGGTGGAAAGCAGGTGGGGTAGGAGGCGTGAGGGGAGGAGCCACGTGGGGGATGGTGGCAAGCACAAGTGGGGATGGTGGCAAGCACAAGTGGGGATGGTGGCAAGCACAAGTGGGGATGGTGGCAAGCACAAGTGGGGATGGTGGCAAGGCAAGCACAAGTGGGGATGGTGGCAAGGCAAGCACAAGTGGGGATGGTGGCAAGGCAAGCACAAGTGGGGATGGTGGCAAGGCAAGCACAAGTGGGGATGCGTGAGGCAAGGGTGGATGGAGGAGGGAGTGGGCGTGCGAGGGGTTGAGCGAGGGGGTGGGCGACGAGGCGGGCGAGGGGGGGGCGTACGAGGGAGGGCAGCAGCACGAGCCAGCCGAGGGTGCGCCCCATGCCCACCAGCGCGCCCACCAGCGGCAGCACCGCCGACCCCAGCGACGGCGGCACCAGCGAGACGCACCCGCGGATCACGAACGCCGCCGCCGCCACCACCGCCCACAAGCCCGCCGCCGCCGCCAACCGCGCTGCCGCCCCCGCCACGCGCCACGCGACCGCGCAGTATCGGGCCGCCCGCTCCGCGAACGCGCTCCCCGCGCTCTCACGTCGCGCCCATGGGGGAAAGCCGTTTGCGGGGCCCCTACTGTGCCATTGTGGTGACGGCGATCGTGGCGACGCTGACGACGCGCCGTGCGACGTGCTATGCGACGAGGCTGCTCGCGACGAGGCGGCGTGCGGTCGCTTCCCCGAGGCCCGCGCGGGTCCTCTCCGCGCCTCGCCCCTCGCCATGGCGCCGCGCACCCAGCAGCGGGACTCTCGGCGGCGTTTACGGCGACAATTGCGCAGTCTAAGGCCCAGCTACGAAGGCATCTTGCGCCGCCGCAAGGAGAGACGGGAGAGCACAAGATGTTCAGTCATAATTCTCGGAGAGCAGCACTCGTGCAGTTAGGCTGAAACGAGAAAAAAAATATCGGTACGCGAGAAGAGACTCGGAGAGCCGTGCGACTCGAGTGTGGCTTGGTGGAGTGGTGGGAAAAGCGCACGAAAACTATACCGAGGACGGTTGGATGGCCGCTTGATGGTGGAGAAACATGCAGCACATGTGGTACCTTTGAGAACCCTCAGTTCCCGACAACGAACGGATTAACGCGCGCTGTACATCCAAGCTATTGTTGTATTTACATAATTATAGCTCTACATCAAACAGCTTGATGGAACACATTTCTAAGCGCAATTTGATGTACAAGAGGATTACAAGAAAGCATGCATGGATTTGTGCAAACTAAAATCGCGCATCATCATGTGCACTAGCACATCTATGGCTGCACTCGCTAGCCCCACCTGGTGCAGCAAGTCTGAAGCACACAGCCAACATGGCATCCAGCACATGCCGGCATGCCATGCCCTCAGCTGCACCCTCAGCACCACTGCTCACCGAGCAGCACCGCTCATCACTGCAACAACGCACATCCCCCACCGGATCTACCACCTGTGGCCCCTCACCACCTTCTCCTCTTACGTTCCCCCACCGCTCCTCCACGTCCTCCTCGTCGGCTCGCCCCTCCACCATTCCGTGCCGCCATTGCAGCTCCTCCAGCAGCAGCCGGGCCACCCCACATGCCGACGCCAATACTCGATGCACGTGCCGCCGCACGCGTGCCCCACACTGCCCCTGCCCTGCCACGTGGCAGTCTTGCATTGGCTGTGGGACTGCACCAACAAGGCATGTGTCTGGGTGCAGACTGTGCTGCAAGGGCTGTGAGTTGGTTTTATCTATTCCGTGTGGGCACAGGGTCTTCTCTTTCTCTGACCCACAGACTTCCATCCCCTGCTGCCCTCTGCTTTCCTCCTCCGTAACCTCCGAAATCTCAATTCTCTCTCCTGCACAGCCTCCTTCCTTTTCCCATTCTTGTCCCTGCCTCTCCCCTTGTCTCGCGGCTGCCTTACACTGTTCATCGGCCTCACACCCCCTGTGCGTGCACAAGCTCTCATCGCCCCCTGTCACCTGCACTGCAGTAAACACCTTCCCCAGCTGAAATGCCCCCAAACCCACCCCCCTCATGCTCCCGTCCCCTCCTCCACCGCCCCTCATGCCACCGCCACCATGTTTTGCTGCCGCCTGTCCTGCACCTACCAGGCCGCTTTCACCCGAACCAGGACCTGAGGCTCGGTCAAGCGGGAGTGGCTGGGCAGTAAGGGGTGTGGGAGGATTGGATGGTTGGGAGGGCTGGAGAAGGGAGGGAGTGTGGGTGGCAGGGAGGAGAGAGGAGTGGGAGAGGCCGGAGGGGAGAGTGGCGAATGAAAAGCGCGAGGAGAGATGTGGAGGGGCGAGGGAATGGTGGTGGTGGGGGTGAGTGAGGGAGGGAGGGCAAGAGGGAGTGAGTGGTGGGGAGGGTGGTGATGGTGACGGTGTGTGTGTCTGCTGGGTGGCGCCTTGAGAGGTGTGTGAGAGAGGGAGGGAGGAGGTGGTAACAGTAGGGGTGGTGGTGGGAAGGGTGGGAGGCGGCAGCAGTGGAGGCGAAGCAGCAGTGGGTGCAGGCACAGACGAGGTGACAGGGAGGGCAGTGGGTGACACTCGGAAGCGAGGGCGGCGGTCAAAGTGGCAGGTGAGGGCGCTGTGCTGACTCGTGGCAGCAGCACCACCACCACCGCCAGTAGCAGCAGCACCGTGGGCAGCACGAGCGCCCACATGATCCGCACAGCAGGCCTCATACCGCCTTTTCCTGCTGCTGCTCCCACCCGCACTGTGTGGAACTAAGTCATCCGCATCATGAGCCTCCACAGGCACGCCCCCAGCGTGCGTGCTGTCACTGCCACCACTCGCCCTCGTCGCATGGGTCGCATGGCTGATGTTGGCGGCAGTCTGGCTGGCAAAAGGCACGACGTCACACTGTGCCAGGGGCGGAGGGAGAGCACATGCTGTTGAGGCGTGTAGCTCCGGAGCACACAATCCACCCTCCTCTTCCATCCCTCTATAATCTTCTATGCCATCCACCCCCTCCTCTACTTCCTGCTTCACTCCTCTCCCCCCCTCTATCGCCTCACTCGCCCTCCACCCCCCTACCCTCGCCTCCCCCTGCACTGTCTCCCATTCCCCTGCTCCCTGCACCGTCTGCTGCTCTCCATCCCCCCACTCCTCGCTCTCCTCGGCCATTCCTTCTTCCCTCTCGTCTCCCTCGCTTACACCCACCTCCCTCTCCATAATTCCCGCGTCCTCATAAAAAATTTGACCATCCTTCGCCCTTGCTCCCTCTCCTGCCTCCCCCACGCCCTCCCCTTCTTTCCCCTCCCCTTCCCCACTCGCCATTCCTTCCTCGTCTCCCCCTTCCCCCTCCCCCTCTCCCCCTTCCCCCCCTCGCCCGCGCGCCTCTCTCTCGCGCCACTCCCTCTCCACCGCCTGCAGCAGCGCCGCATCACCCAGGGGCGAACCTTCCAGGATCTTGCGGATGCGCCCCACGCCCTCCTCCTCCCTGACTCTTTCCACCTCCTCCACCAGCGCCGCCACGCCCCTCGCCTGCACGCCCGCCACAAACCGCACTGCCCGCTCGTACGCGCCCTCCTCTCCCCCCTGCTGGTTGCCAGAGGGGAGGGCGGGCGCGTGGGAGGGCTGGGGCTGCGCTGGTGCAGGGTGGGAGGGCGAGGCGGAGTGGGACTGTGCGGAGTGGGCCTGGGCGGAGTGTGGGGGGCCTTGAGGGGGCGTGGAGAGGCCGCGCAGGAGAGGGTACTTGCGGCGCATGGCGGAGTTCCAATAGTTCTTTATGGCGTTGTCCGTGCTGTGGAGGGGGGACGGTGGGGGGAAGAGGGACAGGAGAGGAGGGGTGAGAGTGTGAGGAAGGGGGGATATATAAGAGGCTGTTGTGTGGTAGAAGGGAGGGGTTGCATGTGGAGTGATGGAGGAAGGAGAGAGAATTGCAGTGGACAACGGGTGGCAAAGTGAACGGTGCTGAAGGCAGTAGGTGCGCACCGTCCGGGAAGGTTCTTGGCGATGAGGGCCCACTTGTTGCCGTGGATGGCGTGCGCTGTGATGATGCGCGCATCCTCCTCCACCGTGAACTGGCCTCGCCTCAACGCCGGGTCCAGCTGGTTGCACCACCTGGTGTGATGTGAGGGAGAGGGGAGGGAGGGAAGGATGAAGGGAGGGAGGGAGTGATGGAGTGAGGGAGGAAAGGAGGGATGGATAGATGGAGGGGGATGTGTGTGCCCAGCATGGGCTCGGAAAAGAGAAGATGTGCAGAGCCAGGAAAGGTAAAGAGCAACTGAACTACAATCAAGGTGAAGCAGATCAACACAGAATCACTCCCTTGTTTCCACTCATCCCAGCACATCTCGCCCCACCTCACCGCACTGCACCGTGTGACGCACCTGAGTCGGCAGCTCTTCCCCGGCCTGCCAGGGATACCAGCAGCGATGACGCTCCAGTTTTTCGCCCCGTGCACCGCCACCAGCGCCGCCAGCCGCTCATCCTCCTCCGCCGTCCACGCCCCCCTGTTCACCACCGATGCTCCCCTCCGCCCTCCGCCACTCCGCCTCCTCTGCTCCTTCTCCCCGTCCTCCTCCGCTTCCTCGCCCCCCCTGCTCCCCCTATCCTGCTCCCCTGTCAGCCCTCCGCTCGCCTCGCTGCTGCTGCCGCCTCTCCTCTCGTTCCCAGCCTTCCCCATACTCTCCGCCCCCTCGCCACAGCTGTCCGCCTCCCCCTCCTTGCCGGCTCCCCCGCGATCCCACGCATTCTCTCCCCCGGTACCCATTTCCGCCGCCCCTCCCCGCGCTTTTGTTCCCCTGGAAGCCGCGCCATGTGCCCCCGACGTGGCGGAGACAAGTGGGCGCGCGCTGCTGGCTGGGGAGGCTCCCCTGAGCGCCTCCTCGCGCGGCTGTTCCCCCTGCCGCTCCCCCGGATGCTCCTGCGCCCGGCTGGCGGTCGCTGCTCGTCCAATTCCCGCCGGCAGCACCAGCCGCAACGGCCCCCCGGCTTGGCGGGCGTGGATCCGCCGACAAGGGGGGAGGGGGAGGGGCGCGCGGAGAGGGCTGCGAGCGGAACGAATCGAGGGGCAGTGTGCATGCCGCTGCGCTCCGCCGCTGGGTTGGCGGAAGAATCGTCTGGATGTGATGCGGCGGGTGGTTGCGCGGGCAGCGCAGTGGCGCGGGTGAGCGGAGCCATTTGCGGGCGATGCGCGGAGGTTAGAAATAGCAGCTCGCAAGCTCAAGTGTCTGGTACGCTCTAAAAGCGTGCGAGCGATGCTGCAGCTAATAGTAGTCCTCGGGTGGGTGTGCGTGACGGGTGGTTAATTGTTGCTCTCAGATGCTTGCTTGCGATCGACGGTCGCCTACGGAGCTGCGGCGCGGTTAGCCATCCCCCCGAAGTCAGCAGAGCGAGTGGTTGCGCGCAACTTGAGCGCGGAAAACCTCCTCGCCTTCCCTAACTGCAAGCTCCGTAAATGCTTCAAGCATCGTGGCTGCTGTGCCAAGCTACCGCTAACACGTGGGGGGTGGAGCCACATGAACAGAGCCGTTTCGCTTCACTTCTGAGACGAGGCGTTCGCGCAACCCTGACCGCTCGGTTCCGCTGTTGGGTCTGCGCTCGCTCCCCAAAAGCTTCTTACATCCGCTCGATGAAAGCTCGGCGGAGGTCGTTGGTAAACCGAGGAGACGAAACGTCTCGTTCTGCCTTCTTGCGAGCATCACAGGCACAACAGATGGCGGTTAAAAGACGAAACGGCACTTCCTCGTTACTAGGTTCGCGGACCGAAAATGCTGAAAGCAATCTGAGTGCACACTCAGTACTAAATCGGTGTAAATTTGACGGACGATTTCTCTTATGTGTCAAAAACTATTGCAGAACGGACTCAAGTAGTGTAGTTATTGAAGGTATATTCCCTTGGGCCTGGGGTGGCCCAGTCCCCAAGGCAGAAATGTTCCCGAGGCAAAGCAGTTTCAAGGGCAAACTTGTTCCCAAGGTAGCCCAGTTCCCGAGGCAATTTCGTTCCCTAGGTTGTTCCGACAAAGGTGTTTCCGAACCGAGCCCAAGGCAGCACGGCATCATTCCCGCGCAACACATCCCAAGGCCAGGCCGGAGCACCTGCACCCACCGACCACCCCCACCACCCGACGGACCACCCGCCATCCTCCATATCTCCTCGCTGCTCCTCGCCATTCTCAAAGCATCATTGCGAATTCGCTCGCCTTTCTCTCGCGAGCAGCGCCGCGTAGTTGCCGGCTACGTTCACCCTACGGACCCACGGGGGACGGAAGTCTGCACCGGTAGGAATGGCGGGAGGAGCGGAGACGGCGGGCGATGTATCGGTCCACGTCACCACGCCGCTGCTGCCGCGCGAGGTACGGCGCAGCGCGAAGGGGAATGCGCCGTGATGTGCAGATATTGTGCGCATTACAGTTCATCAATCTTGCTACTTGCCCTGCGCTGCTTTCCGCCTTCTTCCTAGTATCCCCTGCGCTCCCTTCTATCCACCTCTTTGCCATCCCCCTTGCCTCTCCTCAGGATTCTGCTCCCGCAAGACACGTGTCGCCCGGCGACGGAAGCCCTTCATCGCCGCATTCCCCGGGTGCGCGTCGCATCGCTACAGCTTCAAGGATCGCCGCATTCATCGGGTGCGTCGCTCTGCTCGGCGCGCTCTGCCTCCTCGCGCCGCGCCGAACCGCCTTGGAGACACGTGCTGACGATGCCGTCGAGATTAGCAGCAGCAGAAGCGCGGCTGTTCGCTTCTTCGCGTTCGGCGACTGGGGTCGCAACGGCACGTTCAACCAGTCGCTCATCGCACAGCAGGTGCGACGCACGCCCTTTCTCATCGTCCTTCACGCTGTGACCACACGCCATCCGCACACCCCTTCCTTGCTATGCAATGCACCCATCTTTCCTTCTACCCTGTGCGGTGGAGATGGGTGCAGTGGGGCAACAAATGGTCCCTCAGTTTGTGGTGTCGGTGGGGGACAACTTCTATGACGAGGGGCTGACAAACGTGAACGATGACAAGTTTGCGCGCTCCTTCACCAACATCTACACGCACCGCAGCCTGCAGGTCCCCTGGTACGCAGGTACGCCTCCCAATCTTTCTCACCCTCCCTCTCTTGATCATTCCCTCCCCCCCTCTCACTCTTTGTCGCACTCTCTCGTACACAAGGGACGCACTGCGCACTTCTTCTGGACCTGTGTGAGCAGCGGTGGCGTTCATGAGAGCTTTTGTTGCAATACGCCATCACTCCATGTGCGAGCAATCCTTTAATGCATTCACGTGTCAATGCACAAACACACTCACGTACCTCACTTCACCACAGCTCACACTGCTCCGTTCCCCCGCCCCCGCACCCCCTTTTTCCTGCCCCATTCCCTCCACCAGTGCTGGGCAACCACGACTACTACGGCAACGTTCTCGCTCAGCTCAGCTCAACTTGGCATCAGCCCAAACTACACTGGACTGCCATATCGCACTGACCTGCCACGTCAGCACGGACCTGCCACGTCAGCACGCACCTGCCACATGTGTGCAGCCCGGCGTGTGATGAGCTCAACGAGCTGCTCGCGCCTCAGCTCGCCCTCGTATTCTCGCCGCCTCCCCTCGTCTGATAACACCTGCCCGCACCCCACACACACACATGCACACATGCACGCGCGCGCGCGCACACACACACACACACACACACACACACACACACACACACACACAACCGCGTTGACAGGCAAGCGAAAGGAAAAGGGAAGAGATGGCAACGAGCACATGCAGTGGCATGGAGTGGTGGTCAGTGAGTCATGTATGAAGAAAGCACATGGTGTACCTCGTATGCGCTCTGCAGGCGTTGAAAAGCCACTATGGCATTCTTCTCGTCCCCCCCATGCTTGTCCGGATGCACTAGCATTGCCTGCACGTCACATGCACATGCACATGTTCAGGCACAGGCACATGCACAGGCACAGGCACATGCACAGGCACATGCACAGGCACATGCACAGGCACATGCACATGCACATGCACATGCACAGGCACAGGCACACAACTCATCACTGTAAGTCAGCAACTGCAAACCGCATACTACAAGCTCACGCGTAATTCCCATAAAGCTCTTCACACCACTCCCTCCCAGCCACTTCCCAGCCTCCTATCCTCCCCAGCCTCGTCTCCTTCCCCCCAGCCCCTCCATATCCCAAGTCACCCTCCCCCCCATGCGCCCTCTCCCATTCCCCATCCGCCCCTACCCCTCCCCCCGGCCCCCACCATGCGGCGGTACTCCTTCTTCAGGGCGCTCTCGTCCACAGCCGCACAGAAGGGCGCCAGGCGAAGCACCTCGTAGTGGTTGCTGCACCACACTATGCGCTCTATCTCCCCGCCCCCACTCGCCTCTCCCCCGGCCCCCCCTCCCCCTGCCAACCCCGCTTCCCCCTCCCCTACCGCTCCCTCCACCCCTACCCCAGGCTCCCCCCCCCAGCAGTGCTTGCTTGGGACTGGTTTGCGGGGGACGAGTCGGGTTGGGCGGGGTCATCTTGGAGGGAGGAGGCGAGGAGGAGCAGCAGGTCGCAGGCCAGGAAGGAGGCGAGCAGCGTGAGGCACAGCGTGGTGAGCCCTGCGCGCACCACCACGTGGTACACCGTTGACGCCACCAGCAGCAGCAGCGCTGCACGGGGGGACCCGCTCGCTGCCACTATCCCTGGTGGATGCGCAGGGGTGGAGAGCGGGGGGTAGAGAGCAAGGGGGGGAGAGCAGGGGGGAAAGAGCGCGGGTGGGAGGGTGGGTGGGCCGGGGGGAGAAAGGTGGCGCTGGGGGAGTTGGTGGGCAGGAGAACGGGAACGAGGGGAGGCAGGCAAGACGTGCGTGTGTGGGTGGGGTGGGGGGCCGGGCAAGGCAAGAGTGTGTGTGAGTGGGGGAGAGAGGACCAGCCAATCAGTTGGTGCTTAAGAATACTCAACAACCACCTCAGACGGCAGCGCTCAAGGTGTCTCGCTGACCTGCTGTGAGGGCGGGGTGCAACCTACCGGCTGTGAGGGCGGTGGCGAGGGCGAAGAGCAGCAGCTTGGCGCGCAGTGCTGTGAAGAGCGCCAGCAGCACCAGCAGCGCGAGTGTGAGCAGCAGCGGCAGGAAGAATGACAGCAGCACCAGCACCACCTGCTCGCCGCAGCCGATGGGAGGGGGAGGAGGGTGCAGAAATGGGGTGGCGGAGGAGGGGGAAGAAGTGGGGTGGCGGAAGAGGGGGAAGAAGTGGGGTGGCGGAAGAGGGGGAAGAAGTGGGTGGAAAGCAGGTGGGGTAGGAGGCGTGAGGGGAGGAGCCACGTGGGGGATGGTGGCAAGCACAAGTGGGGATGGTGGCAAGCACAAGTGGGGATGGTGGCAAGCACAAGTGGGGATGGTGGCAAGCACAAGTGGGGATGGTGGCAAGGCAAGCACAAGTGGGGATGGTGGCAAGGCAAGCACAAGTGGGGATGGTGGCAAGGCAAGCACAAGTGGGGATGGTGGCAAGGCAAGCACAAGTGGGGATGCGTGAGGCAAGGGTGGATGGAGGAGGGAGTGGGCGTGCGAGGGGTTGAGCGAGGGGGTGGGCGACGAGGCGGGCGAGGGGGGGGCGTACGAGGGAGGGCAGCAGCACGAGCCAGCCGAGGGTGCGCCCCATGCCCACCAGCGCGCCCACCAGCGGCAGCACCGCCGACCCCAGCGACGGCGGCACCAGCGAGACGCACCCGCGGATCACGAACGCCGCCGCCGCCACCACCGCCCACAAGCCCGCCGCCGCCGCCAACCGCGCTGCCGCCCCCGCCACGCGCCACGCGACCGCGCAGTATCGGGCCGCCCGCTCCGCGAACGCGCTCCCCGCGCTCTCACGTCGCGCCCATGGGGGAAAGCCGTTTGCGGGGCCCCTACTGTGCCATTGTGGTGACGGCGATCGTGGCGACGCTGACGACGCGCCGTGCGACGTGCTATGCGACGAGGCTGCTCGCGACGAGGCGGCGTGCGGTCGCTTCCCCGAGGCCCGCGCGGGTCCTCTCCGCGCCTCGCCCCTCGCCATGGCGCCGCGCACCCAGCAGCGGGACTCTCGGCGGCGTTTACGGCGACAATTGCGCAGTCTAAGGCCCAGCTACGAAGGCATCTTGCGCCGCCGCAAGGAGAGACGGGAGAGCACAAGATGTTCAGTCATAATTCTCGGAGAGCAGCACTCGTGCAGTTAGGCTGAAACAAGAAAAAAAATATCGGTACGCGAGAAGAGACTCGGAGAGCCGTGCGACTCGAGTGTGGCTTGGTGGAGTGGTGGGAAAAGCGCACGAAAACTATACCGAGGACGGTTGGATGGCCGCTTGATGGTGGAGAAACATGCAGCACATGTGGTACCTTTGAGAACCCTCAGTTCCCGACAACGAACGGATTAACGCGCGCTGTACATCCAAGCTATTGTTGTATTTACATAATTATAGCTCTACATCAAACAGCTTGATGGAACACATTTCTAAGCGCAATTTGATGTACAAGAGGATTACAAGAAAGCATGCATGGATTTGTGCAAACTAAAATCGCGCATCATCATGTGCACTAGCACATCTATGGCTGCACTCGCTAGCCCCACCTGGTGCAGCAAGTCTGAAGCACACAGCCAACATGGCATCCAGCACATGCCGGCATGCCATGCCCTCAGCTGCACCCTCAGCACCACTGCTCACCGAGCAGCACCGCTCATCACTGCAACAACGCACATCCCCCACCGGATCTACCACCTGTGGCCCCTCACCACCTTCTCCTCTTACGTTCCCCCACCGCTCCTCCACGTCCTCCTCGTCGGCTCGCCCCTCCACCATTCCGTGCCGCCATTGCAGCTCCTCCAGCAGCAGCCGGGCCACCCCACATGCCGACGCCAATACTCGATGCACGTGCCGCCGCACGCGTGCCCCACACTGCCCCTGCCCTGCCACGTGGCAGTCTTGCATTGGCTGTGGGACTGCACCAACAAGGCATGTGTCTGGGTGCAGACTGTGCTGCAAGGGCTGTGAGTTGGTTTTATCTATTCCGTGTGGGCACAGGGTCTTCTCTTTCTCTGACCCACAGACTTCCATCCCCTGCTGCCCTCTGCTTTCCTCCTCCGTAACCTCCGAAATCTCAATTCTCTCTCCTGCACAGCCTCCTTCCTTTTCCCATTCTTGTCCCTGCCTCTCCCCTTGTCTCGCGGCTGCCTTACACTGTTCATCGGCCTCACACCCCCTGTGCGTGCACAAGCTCTCATCGCCCCCTGTCACCTGCACTGCAGTAAACACCTTCCCCAGCTGAAATGCCCCCAAACCCACCCCCCTCATGCTCCCGTCCCCTCCTCCACCGCCCCTCATGCCACCGCCACCATGTTTTGCTGCCGCCTGTCCTGCACCTACCAGGCCGCTTTCACCCGAACCAGGACCTGAGGCTCGGTCAAGCGGGAGTGGCTGGGCAGTAAGGGGTGTGGGAGGATTGGATGGTTGGGAGGGCTGGAGAAGGGAGGGAGTGTGGGTGGCAGGGAGGAGAGAGGAGTGGGAGAGGCCGGAGGGGAGAGTGGCGAATGAAAAGCGCGAGGAGAGATGTGGAGGGGCGAGGGAATGGTGGTGGTGGGGGTGAGTGAGGGAGGGAGGGCAAGAGGGAGTGAGTGGTGGGGAGGGTGGTGATGGTGACGGTGTGTGTGTCTGCTGGGTGGCGCCTTGAGAGGTGTGTGAGAGAGGGAGGGAGGAGGTGGTAACAGTAGGGGTGGTGGTGGGAAGGGTGGGAGGCGGCAGCAGTGGAGGCGAAGCAGCAGTGGGTGCAGGCACAGACGAGGTGACAGGGAGGGCAGTGGGTGACACTCGGAAGCGAGGGCGGCGGTCAAAGTGGCAGGTGAGGGCGCTGTGCTGACTCGTGGCAGCAGCACCACCACCACCGCCAGTAGCAGCAGCACCGTGGGCAGCACGAGCGCCCACATGATCCGCACAGCAGGCCTCATACCGCCTTTTCCTGCTGCTGCTCCCACCCGCACTGTGTGGAACTAAGTCATCCGCATCATGAGCCTCCACAGGCACGCCCCCAGCGTGCGTGCTGTCACTGCCACCACTCGCCCTCGTCGCATGGGTCGCATGGCTGATGTTGGCGGCAGTCTGGCTGGCAAAAGGCACGACGTCACACTGTGCCAGGGGCGGAGGGAGAGCACATGCTGTTGAGGCGTGTAGCTCCGGAGCACACAATCCACCCTCCTCTTCCATCCCTCTATAATCTTCTATGCCATCCACCCCCTCCTCTACTTCCTGCTTCACTCCTCTCCCCCCCTCTATCGCCTCACTCGCCCTCCACCCCCCTACCCTCGCCTCCCCCTGCACTGTCTCCCATTCCCCTGCTCCCTGCACCGTCTGCTGCTCTCCATCCCCCCACTCCTCGCTCTCCTCGGCCATTCCTTCTTCCCTCTCGTCTCCCTCGCTTACACCCACCTCCCTCTCCATAATTCCCGCGTCCTCATAAAAATTTGACCATCCTTCGCCCTTGCTCCCTCTCCTGCCTCCCCCACGCCCTCCCCTTCTTTCCCCTCCCCTTCCCCACTCGCCATTCCTTCCTCGTCTCCCCCTTCCCCCTCCCCCTCTCCCCCTTCCCCCCCTCGCCCGCGCGCCTCTCTCTCGCGCCACTCCCTCTCCACCGCCTGCAGCAGCGCCGCATCACCCAGGGGCGAACCTTCCAGGATCTTGCGGATGCGCCCCACGCCCTCCTCCTCCCTGACTCTTTCCACCTCCTCCACCAGCGCCGCCACGCCCCTCGCCTGCACGCCCGCCACAAACCGCACTGCCCGCTCGTACGCGCCCTCCTCTCCCCCCTGCTGGTTGCCAGAGGGGAGGGCGGGCGCGTGGGAGGGCTGGGGCTGCGCTGGTGCAGGGTGGGAGGGCGAGGCGGAGTGGGACTGTGCGGAGTGGGCCTGGGCGGAGTGTGGGGGGCCTTGAGGGGGCGTGGAGAGGCCGCGCAGGAGAGGGTACTTGCGGCGCATGGCGGAGTTCCAATAGTTCTTTATGGCGTTGTCCGTGCTGTGGAGGGGGGACGGTGGGGGGAAGAGGGACAGGAGAGGAGGGGTGAGAGTGTGAGGAAGGGGGGATATATAAGAGGCTGTTGTGTGGTAGAAGGGAGGGGTTGCATGTGGAGTGATGGAGGAAGGAGAGAGAATTGCAGTGGACAACGGGTGGCAAAGTGAACGGTGCTGAAGGCAGTAGGTGCGCACCGTCCGGGAAGGTTCTTGGCGATGAGGGCCCACTTGTTGCCGTGGATGGCGTGCGCTGTGATGATGCGCGCATCCTCCTCCACCGTGAACTGGCCTCGCCTCAACGCCGGGTCCAGCTGGTTGCACCACCTGGTGTGATGTGAGGGAGAGGGGAGGGAGGGAAGGATGAAGGGAGGGAGGGAGTGATGGAGTGAGGGAGGAAAGGAGGGATGGATAGATGGAGGGGGATGTGTGTGCCCAGCATGGGCTCGGAAAAGAGAAGATGTGCAGAGCCAGGAAAGGTAAAGAGCAACTGAACTACAATCAAGGTGAAGCAGATCAACACAGAATCACTCCCTTGTTTCCACTCATCCCAGCACATCTCGCCCCACCTCACCGCACTGCACCGTGTGACGCACCTGAGTCGGCAGCTCTTCCCCGGCCTGCCAGGGATACCAGCAGCGATGACGCTCCAGTTTTTCGCCCCGTGCACCGCCACCAGCGCCGCCAGCCGCTCATCCTCCTCCGCCGTCCACGCCCCCCTGTTCACCACCGATGCTCCCCTCCGCCCTCCGCCACTCCGCCTCCTCTGCTCCTTCTCCCCGTCCTCCTCCGCTTCCTCGCCCCCCCTGCTCCCCCTATCCTGCTCCCCTGTCAGCCCTCCGCTCGCCTCGCTGCTGCTGCCGCCTCTCCTCTCGTTCCCAGCCTTCCCCATACTCTCCGCCCCCTCGCCACAGCTGTCCGCCTCCCCCTCCTTGCCGGCTCCCCCGCGATCCCACGCATTCTCTCCCCCGGTACCCATTTCCGCCGCCCCTCCCCGCGCTTTTGTTCCCCTGGAAGCCGCGCCATGTGCCCCCGACGTGGCGGAGACAAGTGGGCGCGCGCTGCTGGCTGGGGAGGCTCCCCTGAGCGCCTCCTCGCGCGGCTGTTCCCCCTGCCGCTCCCCCGGATGCTCCTGCGCCCGGCTGGCGGTCGCTGCTCGTCCAATTCCCGCCGGCAGCACCAGCCGCAACGGCCCCCCAGGCTTGGCGGGCGTGGATCCGCCGACAAGGGGGGAGGGGGAGGGGCGCGCGGAGAGGGCTGCGAGCGGAACGAATCGAGGGGCAGTGTGCATGCCGCTGCGCTCCGCCGCTGGGTTGGCGGAAGAATCGTCTGGATGTGATGCGGCGGGTGGTTGCGCGGGCAGCGCAGTGGCGCGGGTGAGCGGAGCCATTTGCGGGCGATGCGCGGAGGTTAGAAATAGCAGCTCGCAAGCTCAAGTGTCTGGTACGCTCTAAAAGCGTGCGAGCGATGCTGCAGCTAATAGTAGTCCTCGGGTGGGTGTGCGTGACGGGTGGTTAATTGTTGCTCTCAGATGCTTGCTTGCGATCGACGGTCGCCTACGGAGCTGCGGCGCGGTTAGCCATCCCCCCGAAGTCAGCAGAGCGAGTGGTTGCGCGCAACTTGAGCGCGGAAAACCTCCTCGCCTTCCCTAACTGCAAGCTCCGTAAATGCTTCAAGCATCGTGGCTGCTGTGCCAAGCTACCGCTAACACGTGGGGGGTGGAGCCACATGAACAGAGCCGTTTCGCTTCACTTCTGAGACGAGGCGTTCGCGCAACCCTGACCGCTCGGTTCCGCTGTTGGGTCTGCGCTCGCTCCCCAAAAGCTTCTTACATCCGCTCGATGAAAGCTCGGCGGAGGTCGTTGGTAAACCGAGGAGACGAAACGTCTCGTTCTGCCTTCTTGCGAGCATCACAGGCACAACAGATGGCGGTTAAAAGACGAAACGGCACTTCCTCGTTACTAGGTTCGCGGACCGAAAATGCTGAAAGCAATCTGAGTGCACACTCAGTACTAAATCGGTGTAAATTTGACGGACGATTTCTCTTATGTGTCAAAAACTATTGCAGAACGGACTCAAGTAGTGTAGTTATTGAAGGTATATTCCCTTGGGCCTGGGGTGGCCCAGTCCCCAAGGCAGAAATGTTCCCGAGGCAAAGCAGTTTCAAGGGCAAACTTGTTCCCAAGGTAGCCCAGTTCCCGAGGCAATTTCGTTCCCTAGGTTGTTCCGACAAAGGTGTTTCCGAACCGAGCCCAAGGCAGCACGGCATCATTCCCGCGCAACACATCCCAAGGCCAGGCCGGAGCACCTGCACCCACCGACCACCCCCACCACCCGACGGACCACCCGCCATCCTCCATATCTCCTCGCTGCTCCTCGCCATTCTCAAAGCATCATTGCGAATTCGCTCGCCTTTCTCTCGCGAGCAGCGCCGCGTAGTTGCCGGCTACGTTCACCCTACGGACCCACGGGGGACGGAAGTCTGCACCGGTAGGAATGGCGGGAGGAGCGGAGACGGCGGGCGATGTATCGGTCCACGTCACCACGCCGCTGCTGCCGCGCGAGGTACGGCGCAGCGCGAAGGGGAATGCGCCGTGATGTGCAGATATTGTGCGCATTACAGTTCATCAATCTTGCTACTTGCCCTGCGCTGCTTTCCGCCTTCTTCCTAGTATCCCCTGCGCTCCCTTCTATCCACCTCTTTGCCATCCCCCTTGCCTCTCCTCAGGATTCTGCTCCCGCAAGACACGTGTCGCCCGGCGACGGAAGCCCTTCATCGCCGCATTCCCCGGGTGCGCGTCGCATCGCTACAGCTTCAAGGATCGCCGCATTCATCGGGTGCGTCGCTCTGCTCGGCGCGCTCTGCCTCCTCGCGCCGCGCCGAACCGCCTTGGAGACACGTGCTGACGATGCCGTCGAGATTAGCAGCAGCAGAAGCGCGGCTGTTCGCTTCTTCGCGTTCGGCGACTGGGGTCGCAACGGCACGTTCAACCAGTCGCTCATCGCACAGCAGGTGCGACGCACGCCCTTTCTCATCGTCCTTCACGCTGTGACCACACGCCATCCGCACACCCCTTCCTTGCTATGCAATGCACCCATCTTTCCTTCTACCCTGTGCGGTGGAGATGGGTGCAGTGGGGCAACAAATGGTCCCTCAGTTTGTGGTGTCGGTGGGGGACAACTTCTATGACGAGGGGCTGACAAACGTGAACGATGACAAGTTTGCGCGCTCCTTCACCAACATCTACACGCACCGCAGCCTGCAGGTCCCCTGGTACGCAGGTACGCCTCCCAATCTTTCTCACCCTCCCTCTCTTGATCATTCCCTCCCCCCCTCTCACTCTTTGTCGCACTCTCTCGTACACAAGGGACGCACTGCGCACTTCTTCTGGACCTGTGTGAGCAGCGGTGGCGTTCATGAGAGCTTTTGTTGCAATACGCCATCACTCCATGTGCGAGCAATCCTTTAATGCATTCACGTGTCAATGCACAAACACACTCACGTACCTCACTTCACCACAGCTCACACTGCTCCGTTCCCCCGCCCCCGCACCCCCTTTTTCCTGCCCCATTCCCTCCACCAGTGCTGGGCAACCACGACTACTACGGCAACGTTCTCGCTCAGCTGCACCCAGCCCTCGCCAACAGGGACCCGCGCTGGGTGTGCCGCCGCAGCATGGCGCTCTCGCTGCCGCTCTGCCCCTCCGCCAGCGTTGACTGCGTTGACCTGGTTGACCTGTTCCTGTACGACACCACGCCCCTCGTCCCCGCGTACCGCCACAAGCAGGGGCGGTGTGTGGACTGGCGCGGACTCAACACCGCCAACTGGACACAGCAGGAGACCACGCAGCTGCAGGTGATTTGGGGAAGACACCTGCTGCTGTGCTGCCCCCTTCCACATCGCTCACACCACCATAGCTTGCAACTGCCTCCCTTTCCCAAAGCTCTTGGTAACGCGACCCCCCCATTCCCGTCCCCTTTGGACAGTTCGTCTGGCACATTCTGCTGCTCACAGCTCGCTGCCTCTGTCTCACCATCCTCCGCTCCTTCCCTCCCCCTTCGTCCTCCTCCTCTCTGTCTTTTCCTCCTCCCCGTACGTGCTGCAGGAGCTGGAGGGGTGGCTGGGCAACTCTCGGGCGCGGTGGAAGGTGGTGGTGGGGCACCACCCGGTGTTCAGCTACGGGCACCACGGCCACCAGCAGGAGATGATCCACCGCGTCAAGCCGCTGCTCGAGGTGAGCTGCATAGATGACCCACCTCTGTGTGCATGTGCATACATTGATCTGCCCACGCATGTCTTTGAGCTGTGCATTAACTCTCCTGTTTCCCATCTGCTCTCCCCCGACCATGTGTCACCAGCGCTACGGAGTGGATGCATATCTAAACGGGCACGACCACAACATGCAGCATGTGAAGAAGGATGACAGGTACCATACATGCACCACGTGTGATGAGTCGATTTTTGAGTCGACTCAAAAATCGACTCAGCATGTGAAGAAGGATGACAGGTACCATACATGCACCACAAAACCTTCTACGTGCATGCATCATGTCTCGCACCCTTTCTCACCACCATGGCACATGCACCTTTGCACCAAGGTCGGGCCTTGGAGTATCCAATGCACGTGGAGTGTGTTTTGCATTCATTCCCTTCATCCTCGCCTTGTCTTCCCCCCCTCACTTGCTGTCCTCTCTTCCCCCCCTCACTTGCTGTCCTCTCTTCCACACCTGCGTCCTCGCCTCACCCACCCCAGTCCAGTGCACTACTTCACGGTGGGGGGTGGATCCAAGGCATGGCGCAGCGACGCCCCCTCACAAGCCCCCGGGCTGCGTTTCTACTTCCCAGGCCAGGGCTTCAGCGCCCTCCAAGTGGACAGGGATAGACTCTCAGTGGCCTTCTATGGGGTGGACGGCCAGCAGATGTACTCCACTACTTTGAGAAAATGAGGGCTCTGCCAGGGCTTCAGACAGCGTGGCGCAGGTGGACGGGAACCACCTCTCAGTGGCCTTTTATGGCGTGGATGGCCAGCAAATGTACTCCGCTACTCTGCAGCCCTTTGATGTGGAGGTTTCTTTGCATTTGCAAGGCTGTTCAAACTCATTGTCATGTACGTCAGCTAAGCTTATACCGTATGTTTATTTTGTAAGCCTAAGTTGTCTGGCTAGTGCAGTCTGTGGCCTGTCACCTCACAGCTGTAAAGTTATAGGAACCAACACATGCCATTCTCAACACACATGATGTGCAGACCTACTCGATTCGCATGGAGAGAGGCAGCAGTTGAGATAGGGGAGTGTGTGTTGGGAGAGTGGTGTGCTCGACTGGTAACGGTGACAACAGCTTCCCACTGCTCATGACTTGAGTCGCTTGGCATCTGCGTCCGGCACACTCGCATCATCCTCCCCCGCCTGCATGCAACAAGGGCAGCACCGCACAGCACCGTACAGCACAGCACAGCACCGTAAAGCACAGCATGTGCATTGGTGAGGAAGCGCATAAGAGCAGGTGACATGGGCATAGGCCATAAGCATGCGAAGAGCGCATTGGATGGCGCTTGGAAGTGCGGGTTGACAGGTGCTGACAGGGCAAGCCAATGCAGAACGCGTGCAAGGCATTCAAGTCAAGAATAGTGTGTGGCAGCTCGGCATTCCAAACTCCGCCTCACACCGTCAGAGCAAGCTGGGGCGAGCACTCACACAACACTAACTCATGTTTCTCCCTTCCCCCCCACCCTCTCCCCACCACAGACCATTACCCTTGTTTCTCCCCCGCCCACCCACCTTCTCTCCTGGCACCACGGCGTAGCGCTCAGCAGGCGACACCCACGTGGCAGCAGCATCGGGCACCTCCGCATGCGCTGCTGCCGCTGCGTCCTTCCTTCCGCCCGGCCCGCT